TTGTCTTTCAGCGTAGAAAGGGCCTTAAGTTCATTTTCAATTTCGAGCATATTAACCAAAGAAAGATTATAAATTATTTTGAAAAGATTCAATGTGAAGGCAATTTACTTATTGTTATCAGTGATACTTTTAAAATAAGATTTTATGTCAGATAGTTGAATTCGTAGATCCGGGACAGCATCTTGTCTAGTACTGACTTAGTTTTTGGTGCTTTCAAATGCTAATAATGAAGCAGAATTATGGTTTTCGCTAAAATGAATCCTTTGAATTTTGAAATTTTATTTCTTTTGCACTTTACTTTTATAATTTCAAAAAATCAACCGAAATAATATTAACACTAGATTGCCTAAGGATGTAATTTTGACTGCTTTGAATTTCAATTCGAAAAACAATGATGAAATAATGACAGAATTTCTAAGAATTTTGTACAGCATATAATTTTTAAATTGCTAATATTTACTAGTAACTTGTTATATAACTATGAATAGTATAAAAAATATTAAAAATTTATTTTGAACAAATTTCTTTATACATTATTTATTTTTTTACAATCCTGTCATTTGGACTGCTTTTGGGCAATATAGGTATATACTAAGTTTCAGTCTTTCTAGTGTTAAATAAATAAGGAAATATTAATAAGATTTAAATATAATCAAGTTTTCGAAAATCTCTTCTGGTTAAAGAAAGTTCTAAGCCTTTGAACCACAATGACTATCCCACTGAACCCTATGGTTCCGCGGAACACATTTTGGGAGCCACGGTTCTATAGATTTTCTGGAAATGGAAAAAAAAGAATACCCCGAAAACTTAAAATATGCTCAACAATGCGAAAAATGTCTCTAATTTGTAAATTTTTTTTAAAAAAAAAGTCCTAAAAATTTAGAAAATTACTTTTAAAAGAAAAAAAAATACCCATAAATGCAAAACAAAGAGGAGCTTCATCAATATTAGGGCTTTAATAAATTACTCATGTAATATGAAATTAGGTAAAAATATTACTGTTTATTGCATATCTGAATTTCTCTATTCGTTTCTTTTTCGTCTATATACTTCATCTAAAGTCCTGTAAAACATTATAAAAGAAGATTGTGTTTAATTTCTAGTGTTGGATACTTCATCTAAAGTCCTGTAAAACATTATAAAAGAAGATTGTGTTTAATTTCTAGTGTTGGATGCAAGTGCCAAAATTCCTTCTGGTATACTAGATGGTACATTAAGTGACTTCGGAGATTATGACCAATGTTTGGACATAACTAAACTGGACAATAAGAACCGGACTCAATTCAGCGGTCAATATTGTGTTTTAGAAGCATCTCCTCTTTTGCCACCTATGCCTCATCGAGTACAATTCCAAACTGTTGTTTTAAACTTCTCGCACTTCAGTCAACGAGATTCTGTAAGTTACAGCCTTTAAATATTCTTAACAAGTAAGACTAAAAAAAGAAGACTGCATAAGACTAACAAATATAATAAAATATTCTAAAAATTTACACTTTACAAGTAAAGTAAAGTAAAACTTTTAATTTCATTTTTGACACTTTTAAAGGCTCTAGCCCATTTTATTATTATTTTTTTTAATTTTGAGTTTGTTAGTTTCCTTTTGTAGAGAACTGAATGAAATTCTGCTAGAAATGGGCAGAAATTGGCTGAAACTTTAATAGGAAATGGATACCCTGTAAAGATTTGAGTGCTCTAGCGAGTCAGCAAATGGGATAAAATTTTGATTGCTATGGATTCCACTCTTGAAAACAATCGAGAGAGTAATAAAAGATGCTTCTCAATTATGTTTTATTTGTTGTCCGAATGAGCATAGAAATTTGTTAAAACTACTTGCTGGCACTTAAATTATTATAATTATAATTCATAATTTTTTTTTGTAACCAAAATAATAATAAATACATCTTATGAAAGCCTATTTATTTAATAACACACGATTTATTTAATAAAAGAGGATTTACAAAACTTAAAAGTTTAAATTACATGAAATTCAATTCGTTTGTGTTAAGTAAATGTAAACGGTAAAAAACAGTTCCTTTAAAACTGAGTAAAAATAACCGAGAAAAAATAATGGTTGAATTTGAAAATCTCATGCATTCAAAATTAAACCAGAATTGATTGAACTGAATACTCATTTCTTAGCAAAATGCATAAGGAAGAAGAAATGTGTGATAGTGATGCTCATTGGCTGCCGGCAGGATTTGAACCAAGTCCCCTCGGGTTTTACCCATACCCCAAGTCCCACCCCCCTAACTACCATAGTTGAACACCACAGTTCAGGGAGAATTAGGAAGCTTTATGAAATGGTCCCCGTAATGACGCATTATGAAATACATTTCACGAAAAAGAAAATAGTGAAATTATAATTTCTGATTTCCCATCTAAACTATTGGGACCATTTTTTCCATATTGGAACTCTTTGTACTATTGAAATTGAAAATTACTATGCCATGTTGTGTCATTCCGGCTGCTTTTGTGCAAAGCTTCCTAACTCTCCCTGGACTGAAGTGTACAACTATGGTGGTTAGAGCATTCTTATATGAACCCAAAAGGTCCTGATTTGAAACTTGCTGACAGCAGCCAATGAACAACTATTTACACATTTCGCTCTCCACATGCATTTTGATTAAAATGATTACATATTGCTTCAGTTTTGAATACCCATGCAATTTCTAGTCTAGAGAGATTTAAAATCCGACAACTAATTGTTTTGGAACTATTTTGACAAATATTTGCTGAATTTTGAGAAAAAGTTTTTATTTTTGCAGTGAAACTCTCTTTTACAGTTTCCGCTAGAAAAAAGCACTGATTACTTAGATTATTACTTAAATCGATTTTCTTTTTCCTTAAATAATAATGTTTTTCTGCACAGTAACTATTTTTATTTATTCCAATTTCATAAAAGTTTTGGTCTGTAACAAATGTCCCATGAAATAGTTTTAATGTTTATGGTAATATTTTTTTTTTAATTACTGTTACTGTTTATACCATTTTAAATTTATTAATTTTTTAAATTTTAAATATACATGCTTAAATGCACTTTATTTATAAAATTTGGTAAAATTACCTTTTTTGTTAAGTGTAGTTAAAAACCTTTCTTTCTATTACATCCTCCATTTTTCAATATTTAGAATTAATAATCATGAAAAATACATCTTAAATAGGCTTTTTTTATTTCTGCAATAATAGGTGCTTACTGACTTTTCTTCAAACGCTAACATGTTTTTCTTGATGAAACTTCGTCTTGGTTTATGCTTGCCATCCAGTTGTTCCGTCAACGATATTCAAGAAATAGTCAACCTAAGTAAGTTTTAGAATACATAATAAAACATGGAATTTAGAATGAAAGTAATAATTTAACCAATACAAATAACAAATGTTTATTAAAAAGAAATCTTAGAATTATGACAAAAAAAGCATACAGTGTGCCTCGAAAATATTGCCATAAACGTTTAGAGCAGGAAGGTTATGCCATAAAATTTGAGAATCGCATATCAATCAATTATAGAAACACCACGAAAAAGTAGTGAAGGTATAAGATCTAATTTATTATTTTTAGAGAGATTTATTATTTTTGCACATTGTGTTTTTACAAATGGCGCGCTAGAAAATTACAATTCATTACAATTTTCTATCGTACATTTTATCACATCGTACTATTTTAGCGTATCGTATTACCTATTACGTATTATTTCGTATCGTATATTTTTGCTGTACATTTTAGCTTTCGATGTTAGCAACATCGAACGCTAAAATATACAACACTGATGGAGCATTAATGGAGCATACGCTCGAATACCAGGAATTAACGAGCATACGCTCGAATACCAGGAATTAACGAGCATACGCTTGAATACCAGGAATTAACGAGCATACGCTCGAATACCAGGAATTAGCGAGCATACGCTCGAATACCAGGAGTTCTTTTCATCGTTGCAACAAGGCAGAGTCTTATCATGATATTCATTGAAAACTTCACAATCTTGCAATAAACTATTGCTTTGAGAGCTTCTCATTGAAAAAAAATTAAGGCTCAATGAATCAGCTGAGAATCGGGATATTTTGAAGCAGTAAAACTAAAACATCTATACAAAATCAATGGGGGTTTTACGGTGCAATTCAACTTCTACAGTAAGTTATACGATAAAAGTTTAATTAAGGCTGAATGAATCTGCTGAGCATCGGGGTATTTGGCAGCAGTAAAACTGAAGCAATTCTACAAAATCAGCGGAGATTTTGCTGTACAATTCAACTACAACAGTAAATTATACGATAAAGGAGGTCAAGGAAGACGGCCATGGTAGTTTTCACCCAATTTATTATGACATTACGACCAATATTTCAATTTATTTTTCCAAGTCTTAAAAGTATTCACTATGTAACGCAAACTGAGATTAGCTCGCAGACTTGTCAATGAATTCTCCCGGATTAGATGAGATATTAGTCAATCAACACTACTTATTTTTATTTTTCCTCCATAATATTTTAAGATAAATTTAAGACAACTTTTTTTTACAATGCGTGCGATGTTTTTTACTGAACTGTAGCACAACACCACCTAGCTGTGTTTTGGTCAAGTGCTGTCAAGCCTGTCTATATCCTTATATTATGACCAACCATTCCAAACAGAATAAATATCTGTTACACAGTTTACATCAGAAAAAGAAATTACTTTAGTTTAAACATTTTACAGTTTAAGCTGTTTTTAAACAATTGAAGAGCTTAACTGCATTGACATTTCGTTTTAAAAAAACCAGTTTTAAAGAGCAACGAAACTTTAGAAATCTGACGGACCATTAACTATTCGCCAAATTAATTATCTGTAATTAGAGCGGACTATAAAATATTCTTAAATCTTGGAATTTGGGTAATTTTAAAATTTTAATTGAAACGTACCTTTTAAAAAGTTTTTAAAATATGTTTAACGAATTACATTTTCATAAATCTATAATTAATTTTCAGCAAATATCTAAAAGAAATTTACTATTCATATGCATTAAAAATGTTGTTTATTTCATTAATAACAGGTCTTAAAGACATGCCATTGGCCGCAAATGTTTTACGCTGTGAAGTGAAGAAACCATATGAAGTCACTAACACGCAAGTCGCAATTATGTAAGAATTTTTTACTTTTTATTTCTAAAGCTAAATTAATTTTTTATTAGTTAAATTTTTAAAGTTAAATTTATTTTTTTTAGCTTTGCCTGTTATGTTAAGGTAAAACAAGTTGTAATATTTCCAGCTTCCAAGAATATTCAAATTATTTTCTCATTGATGCATATTTTTATCTTGATCAGATTTCTTTTTGCGTCATACTGCGATTTACGTTCAGACTGCATACGCTTATACTGCTTATAACCAGCTTCGCTTCACATATAAGTAGAATAAAAATTCATATATAAATCAAATTTTAAAAATGAGAACATTAAAAAAATATGTACATTTTAGATACACATTTTTACATAAGACATTTTTATTAGTTTTTATTAGCATCAAAAGGGAGAGAAAATTCGGACTTTTATGAATAAGTCTTTTAACAACAAAATCATTTAATAACATGGGTCATTTAATAATTAAATATTTTCCATTAGCATGACGACGTCCTTTTTTCCTTTTTTTAATACTTCAATTTCAGTTAATTTTAGAAATGGCCATTAAGATTGTGTACTTCTTATTTCAAAAATTTTTCTGTAACAGCTAATAATATATTTAGTAATGAATGAATAAAAGGGGGGAAATGACGAATTAAAAATAAAACGGATCAAGTAATCAGTGAACTGAGGAATTTTTGAATTATAGAATCGGTGTTTAAGTAAATCAGCAATTTGAATAAGTGGTGAATGATCGTAGCAATGATGAGACAATTAAATATTTTATTCAGTTTACAAAAAAATTGAAATACATTTTGTAGATTACAGATAATGGCAACACATTTTCATATTTTTCATCCTAATGCGTAGTTTTGAATTTGAATTTCGGTTTTAAATTATCATAAAGCATGCTTTCCATATCAAAAAAGTTTTTAAGCTGGAAATATTTCTTGAGCTGTGTAAAATTTAAAATATTATTTGAAATTTTTTTTGAAAGATACCATGGTCGATTTTTCTTTTTCTTTAATATCAAAACTTTTTTCGAAGTCACATTCATTAATTTCTAATAAGTTGCAACAGTTTTATAACATTATAGCTTATCCTGATTTTTATTTTTCTTTAATATCAAAACTTTTTTCGAAGTCACATTCATTAATTTCTAATAAGTTGCAACAGTTTAATAATATTATAGTTTATCCTGATTTTTATTTTTCTTTAATATCAAAACTTCTTTCGAAGTCACATTCATTAATTTCTAATAAGTTGCAACAGTTTTATAACATTATAGTCTATCCTGATTTTTATTTTTATTTAATATCAAAACTTTTTTCGAAGTCACATTCATTAATTTCTAATAAGTTGCAACAGTTTTATAACATTATAGTTTATCCTGTCAGTTATTTTAAGTCGCCTGAAGTTTCTTTTGTTATTTCGATTGTAAGTTATTTCAACCATTAGAATTAAAAACCAATTGAGAACATTTTTTTCTTTACTCATCACACTTCCAGTTAATAGAAATATCAATAGAGATTACAACTTAACACACTTTAAAAGTCAGATTTCCTTAAAGGAAGGACTCTTTATCTAAGAATGAACCTGCTGAGATAATTTTTCTCGAATAATTTTCACAACGCTGAATGATTTAGACTTAAAAGCAATTGATTTTATAAGGAAGTGATTTTATTTTCAAAATAACGTGATAGATTGCAGCAAGATCTCCATAATATTGTGCTAGTTTGTTGCAACCTTAATACTACGGCACGTTTAACAATATTATTGGACAAGTTAATTTATATTAAACTCTAGTCTATGATGCTGAAGTTAAACTTGAACGAAACATATATGAAATTAAAAAATGTTTATGATTGGGATAAATTTTCACAAAATTATGGTTCAAAACGTTAAAAATATGCATTACTGACATTAAGCTTGCCTAATAGAGTCGCTCAACTTTGAACATAAACATTACTTATCTTAAATCTACGCATTAGTATGCTTCAATGTTGAATATATATGTATACATATATTACTAATCTTAAATTTATTTAATAGTATGGTTCAACGTTGAATAGATATACTACACTTACCTAAAGTAGAAATATATTTCTTGTTTTCAATATAAATATGATACACTTTGTATTTTTTAAAAGCAAAAATAATTTTAGATTATTAATTGACACTCACATAAAAATCAGTTTAACATTTGAACCTTAATATAGGCTACCAAGACCGTAATTTCGGGATAAGTTACATCTCATATCATGCGTTTTAATTTCAAAATAAGGTGTTTAGTATGTAGTTGTATTAAATGGAAAGATATTCGTAGCTTTTTTTTAAAAAAAACAATATGATAATCTTTTTCATGTGTCAGTAAAATTTTGGATTATGCCTTAATACTCGTAAGAAAACTGGCTTAGCGTTGAACCATAATACCGAAATCGGAATATAGTGTAAATTGGCTGCAACCTTAAATTGAACCATGTATATATAATGTATTATAAAATATTAAATTGAACCATGTTTTCGTGCAAGTTAAACCATTGTTTTGTTTAATCATGCTCGATATTTATTCCTCCAAATTTGCTCAAAAAAATAGTTTGCTTTAGCACCATATTTAGATTGAAGTAAATTTTCACGTTATTGAGCTTCAACTCGACTTAAACTTACTTACAGTGAAAGCTAAGCGTTCCCAAAACAGCCCGTTTCGTACTAACGGAATTAAATAAGGCTGAAAGTTAAGGCACTACAATTTGGAGTCCGAAATCATGATTGTGGTAATGTGGTCTACAATACACACAAGCCAACCTTATTTCCTGGACGAGCTGGCACCCATCGCTTTGAAACTGAATGTACTTCAAGTCCGCCACTGAGGATCGAACTCCAGTCCTTCGCAAAGACAGCTTGTGACGCAACTACCACTACGATTATTAAACATCAATTCACTGGTATATAAGACATGCTAGCTTGATTCAATCTTGAGGTACCTTTTGATAGATGAAGGTTGGCAATGTCTAATGATCTATTCCCCACAAGCTTATTAATTTTATCTACGATTCAATCTTGAGGTACCTTTTGATAGATGAAGGTTGGCAATGTCTAATGATCTATTCCCCACAAGCTTATTCATTTTAACTACGATTCAATCTTGAGGTACCTTTTGATAGATGAAGGTTGGCAATGTCTAATGACCCACAAGCTTATTAACTTTAACTACGATTCAATCTTGAGGTACCTTTTGATAGATGAAGGTTGGCAATGTCTAATGATCTATTCCCTTATCAACTTTAACTTCAGAGTCTTCTTGCCTTGCCTTCGTACAGTGAGGAATCAGTACTTTATGTGAAGTATTTGCATCTTATATTAAAGAACTATGTTAAAGTATTTTGGATCCTTATTTAATATTATTCATATTGTTTAATGTGATACATTTTAGGATATCAGAAAAAAAGAATCCTGAAACAATTTGACCAGCTATTTCATAAACATATTATGTATTTATTAAGATGACATAAACAATCTTACATAGATAAATGATAGAATTTTCAAGTTTATATCTTGTGTTTCATATACATTAACGATACATCTTTGATTTTTAAAGCAAGTTATAAATATTTTAGTTTTTGTCCTTGGAGTTCAAACAAAATGGTAACTTTTAATAATTTGTTATAATTTCGTTATAATTTTTTTAGCTGCATTATCTCGCTACTTGTAATTCTGGTAATAATTGGTACGTATTTGGATACAAGAAAAGTGCATGAATGCAAAATACTGGAAGATTTATCTTCAAGTAAGTTATTTGCGCATTTTTTACTATAGTAACTCAGATTGAACTCTTAAATAAATAAATGAACCTCCTATTACATTTTTACTTTTGTTTAATAACAATTTTTTACATTACAAACAGAGGATGCTAATGTCAACCAGAAAAAAATATGCAAATGTGTAACTTTAGTGGCAGGCTTAAAACAGAATCGAAGGCTGGAATAAAAAAACAATTAACACCACATGTTTTTGTTTTATCGATATAATTATTAAATTTAATGTTATTAAATTTGAGTTTTTTTCCAATTATTCCTGAACTGAGTCACTGCCGCAATATATACTTAAAAAATAAAAACAAATTACGAACTACTAAATGCATAATTCTAGAATATGGAAATAAACTCGATGATGCCTATCAGTTTGATATATTATTTTTAAAGGTGGACGCATAAGGTTGAATTGCGTCACTAAAAAAAACACACAGCACATTGTTTCGAAAAATATTTTTAAAAATGTCAAATTTGCAAGCAGTACTATATACTAATACCACATGTATTTTGTTACAATCTGTTCATCATTTATTTTATGTTTATCACATAATGATAAATTATTGTATCTCAATATTTTTATTCAAAATTCAAAAATGTTTCTTTTAAACTTATAAAATATTGAAATAGTTTTAAAAAGTCGCAAAAGGTTCCATTTATTAACTACTGTACCAAAACTTTTAAATTTTCGGGTCTTGTTTGTCTTGTCATCGAGTCTTGATTTGTTTTCATTTATATTTCTATATATTTCTTTTAAATATCTAAAAACATTTCAAAATTGACTCAAATGATTATGATGTAAAACTATTGGGGTGCCATCTGCATATTTAATATCAAAATATTTATTAAGCCATATTAAAATGAAGCAATTAATTTTCTACGCTTTAAGCCCATAAATCTGAAAAACATTCAAAACTGTTTTTGCTATGTGTTTTTAGTTTAGGTTGAAAATGATGAAAATTTAAAATTAACACAAAACGTTTTTATTCTTCTGTCCCTTAAATATGGAATGAATCAGTTTAAACTTTAAAACTTTTTATTGGCAATTGTGAGACTTTAAAGTCTCTAAAAGCTTATAAAACTTATCATTTGCCAAATTTAATTTATTTACTATATTTCCATTTATTATTCATTTAATTTAATTATTTAAACATTTTATTTCTATTAAAAATGTTATATTCTTCGATTATTTCAAAGATAATTTTCGAAGAGTATATATAAATTACTCCATATTCTTCGAGAGATTTAAAGATATAGAAGTTATTATAAAAGTAAGATATATAGTTACAGATTTAAGTATGATATAGAGATACAGATATAAAGAATATGGTTATATTGTTGCATGGAAATCAGTTGTTAACAAAATTTTACAATTTTAAAACTTGTTAACATTTTTAAATAACTAAAATCTGAACTCAAAAATGTCAAAATTAATAGTTTACTTTTAAAATAATAAGTACACTAAGTATTATCATCAAATCAATTTCATTGTGTGTTCTATTATTATTAAAATTTTAAATGTATACAGTAATCAACTTGTAAATTATTATTAATAATATTTTCAATTATTTACAAAATAAAAAGGCTTAAAGAATGCATAATAAAATTAAAAACTATTTATAAAATAATGTAAGAAATTCGAGCATAAAATTAACTTTTGGGTTCGTTTCTAACTGTAGGCAAGATTGGTGATAGTTTAAAAAGCTTTTCTGCCAACAAAAATTTGGAGAAATTGTTCAAAATTAGCCACTCAAAAGAAAATTTTGGAGTTTTGAATGGAATGAGAGTTTTATCGATGGTATGGGTGGTATTGGTACATACCTATGGATTCAGCCACAAGCAAGCTTTTTGTAAGTATACAAAATTCCAAGTAACTTTTTCTAAATATAACTGCATAAATATTACACATAAATGATATTTCAAAATGCTAACATAATGTAAAATACTCAACAGTAAAATATTAAATGCGTTTTATAGCAGATATTACTATGAATGTAGTTTCAATGGTTTTATCCAAATTTTACAGTTAATCACATCGGAAAAATTGCCTATGTTACTGCTACAATGTAGAAATTGGTTATTCCGAAGATTGTCAAGCTAATGCGCATATTAATGCGCAGTGATTCGTTAAAGTGCCAAAAAATTGTTTCATTTCTCAAATTATCGTGGTAATTAAACAATGTAGATAATCTGCTCTTTAACTAGGAAAATAAGATCTATGTGAAACTACAGCAGTTATTTGTTGTAATTTTTTGAGTGCTTCTCATACTATTGTATTGTTATATTTTGCTTTGGTTATATTGATGCAATATTAGGAGGCACTCTTTTTTACATATATAATCGTGTGAGCTGATGAAAAGATTATATCTTTCATTTTCCTGTTTTTTTAAAATTTTTTGTCAATTTTTTTCCGGTTTTTCGTTATTTTTATTTTTTCATTGTTCTGTAATTTTTTCCTTGTTTTCTCTACATTTTGAACTTATTTCATGAGTTCCATTTTTCCTGCTGCTTATGCGCAATAAATAAAACTTATTGTTTTTCTTAATTTTCTTCGTGCTTTTATTTATTATGATATATNAATATATATATGAAAATAAGAAAACCCGTTTGGGCTGAAGAAAAGGTATAGATTTTAGAAAGAACTCCTACAGACAGACACTTCCTATTTTTATCACAAGATTAAACTAATAATTTTAATGTTTCTCCTAACGCCTTCCACATTAATGATTCCATAAACTTTGATATAAGTTTCTATTGATGTGTAACCCCTAATTAGGGTAGCTATTTAAGTGCTTTTTAACAAGAATTCTGAAATTATATATTAAAAGTTGCGTTTACGAAAAATCTTTATACCTTATTGTTCCTGAAACTGTTAAAACTTATGGTTTTGAAACAGTTAAAGTATATACAGTTAAACCACCTTTTTTCCTTCTTTCTAACTTTCTTGCAATGAACCAATCAGTTATCATGTGAAAAAAATTTGATCTAAAATACTTTTATACACTTAATACGTTAATAAATTTTGAAAAATCAAAATATTTGAATTTTTTCCAGTTATTTTTGACTGATAATATATTAACTATTTTTAAGCCCGTATGAAAAATGCACAGGATGCTCTGAATGAAGTAACTTTTGGTACAATAATCAATGCATGGGTTATTGTGGATACATTTTTTGTCCTTGGGTAAGTACAGTGTTTATAACATTATTATAATTTAAATTATTGTAATTAAGCAATTGTTTAATAAATACATCAAATAGCACTTCGTTGATAAAGCTGTAAGATTTCAATTAGAATGAATTATATTTTGAATTTAAGATAGTATTGAATAATATATCAGAAAATATCATGAAATTAATGTAATATATACAATTTAACTAATTAGAAATGCAGACAGCAGTTTCGATACTAAAAACTAGCACCTCTTAGCATCGAAATGACTATCCGTTTTGTGTTTATTCTTTTACTTTTAAGGATATTTTTTAAACATTATTTAATATATTTTCAACACTTTTCAAAAAAAATTCAAAGACAAAATATGCGATTGAGTTAAAGAAAATATGTTTAATTTGCTACATATAATGTTGAAAAATCAAGATCTGTATTTTTTATTTGAAATAAGGATAAAAGTTACAAAAGTCAAGTAAGGGAATATTACAGAACTAATATATTACTCAGAAACTGCACACAATAAAAAATGTGTTTGATGTTTAAAAGTTTCTGTAAAAAAACGTTGAAATAACCCACCAATTAATTTGAATCTTATGAATTTCAGAGCATTTTTGGTGTCCCATTCAAATCTAAAGACATTGGAGAGTAAAAATGGTCGGTTAAATTTTATGAGGTATTATCTTCATAGAATTTGGAGGTAAGTGTGTTAAGCATTTGATTATAAAAAGCTGAATATTGGGTAAAATTGTATAATTTGCTATCAATCATATCACAAAAATTACATTTAAAATACATCATATATACATGCATACACACATTCCATTTATATTGGAAATGTGATTAATTTAAATGTAGTGCTGTGTTTTAAATGTATACTTTAGACTAAAGCAAAAAACAGCGTGAATAAAGCACTAATGAAAGAACATGAATGAGCATACTATAGTTTCGGTGCTATAAACAAAAATCTTCCTCTGTGTCTAAACACAAAATGACGGTAGAGAAAGTGAAGAGTAAAACACACGCAAAACAATAGGGAAAGAGAAACAAGTTTGAACAAGAAAATAAAAAAGGAAATAAGAAACAGGTGTGATGAGATTTTGCGGTAACTCCACAGTGCAACAGATAATATTAATTTATTTATTCATGTATGTTTAGCCAACAAATGCAATTTTCAATTGATTTCCTAAAACCCAATTTTGCTTACATTGAATTCCAATCACAGTTTTTGTAATTGGATTTATATTATTTTTTACACAAAAAGCCACTACATCTTTGCTGTAACAATGATTATAAATAAAATAATAAATAATTATTATAATTATATTATATGGATTAAATTAAAAAGAAAACTTAGAATTTAGAAAATAAATGACATATAAAATTGAAACATTCAATCTACAAAAATCCAATATTTTATTTAAAAAGTAGTTTGCAATTTAAAATATGAAATTATTTTATACGAGTTACTTTATTTTAAATCTAACTGTCTTAAATTCAGCGTTCATATACATTCATTTAATCCACGCAAATCCAATGTTTTTTTTAAAAATGTAGTTTGCAATTTAAAATATTAAATTATTTTATACGAGTCACTTTATTTAAAACAACATTGTTTCAAATTTAACGTTCATATACATTCATTTAACCTACAAAAATCCACTATTTTATTTAAAAAGTAGTTTGCAATTTAAAATATTAAATTATTCGATACGAGTCACTTTATTTGAAATCCAACTGTTTTAAATTCAGTGGTCATATACACTAATTTAATCCACAAAAATCCAATATTTTATTTAAAAAGTAGTTTGCAATTTAAAATTTTAAATTATTCGATACGAGTCACTTTATTTGAAATCCAACTGTTTTAAATTCAGTGGTCATATACACTCATTTAATCCACAAAAATCCAATATTTTATTTAAAAAGTAGTTTGCAATTTAAAATATTAAATTATTATATACGAGTCACTTTATTTAAAACCCAACTGTTTTAAATTTAGCGTTCACATACATTCATCATTCACTGAATAGTTGGTATTTAATTTAATGGATTACTAACTTCATTTCGAAAGTTCTATACACGTAGTGTTACAATTTTTATTCTAGGTCAGAATCTATCATAGTCAATCCCTAGAAAATCATACAACCATAAATTAACTCCAATATTAGGTTACAGGGGGATAATGTTTGACCTAAAGGACGCTATTTTTTATAGCGTTGAAGGGGCCAATGAAGGTAAAAAGTACCGTATTTCCCAGATAAATTCCATTTCATAATGTTGGTAGAAATAGATGAAGGTTACAACCGAACATAATCCAATCTTTGTAATAGCTTCACAAAAATATTTCTTTGTCTAAAACCACAAAGATATCGTTATTTTTCCGAACTGTGAGTAAAGTGATATTTATTTCTACACGGAGATAAATATTCTGTTCATTTGCTAATTTTTCCGTTCATATGGTAACGACTTACCGGGAATTCTGGTTTTTAAAATTAGTTTTTATTTCTACTCATTTAGTAAAAGATACAGATCTGAAAAATTAAATTAACCGAATAAATGGTTTTTATGCCATGCTCTGGGGTATTAAGATAAAATTACCAATTTTTATCACATTTTATAAAACCATATTTTATTGCTTATTTTATTAAAATCATGACCAAAGCTTTTCGGTCCAGTTTTGTGGTGTTCTTTTAAAGTTAAAAACACGGTATTCTTACCATATTCTTCGAGTTTGAACTATGTTTTTTTTAATCGGTATGGAGATAAAAATAATAAAATAACATTTTGTCTAGTTATAATGATAAAATAAGCTATTTTGCAGGTCTATAAACTGAATTAAGCTGTTATTTAGATCGACTTAAATTATTGTATAGATAATGTGTTTTAAAAATGAGTTATAACAAAATAGATATTATTAATATAGGTAAGATAATGTAAAATAAGTTAATCTTGGTTATAGTATAGAAACTTAAGAGAGAATTTTTTCCATTAAAATAATATTTTTTGTTGCAGTAAGTGTTCTAAAATGCAAATAATTTGCTGGTGCTTATTATTTATTATTAATCAAAATATTGGAATATTAAAATTTTGCTATGCTTCTTCGTTTTTAGAACTAATTGATTAGAGAAAGAAATATATATATCTTTTAATTTTTATATCTTTTTTTATTAATTAAAATATGAGTAAGAACTTAAAGTTTGAATGAGTATTTAAAATCTTAAAAATTTATTCAAAACCTTTGGAAGTAGTCAAAAAATATCACATCAAAAATATAAAAATAAGTAAGCTCATTTTAAATCTAGTTGAAAAACAGAGTGATGAAAAAAACATAACTCAATTTTGTTCATTTTATGCTAATTACTTTGTTTTTGTTTTGTTTTATAACTAAACAAGTTTTAATGCAAAAGTTAACATTTAGATTGCAAAAAACAAAGCAAGAATACTTTTAAAATGTTATTTATATACACGAAAAAATTTACCAAAATGAAAAAGCTCTACCTGATAGCTTTCTGACAAAATAAAGAAAAATGTATAGGACGGAGATTTTTATGCAACTTTAAGAATCAGCTTCGACTTAAATAAGTGATTGAAAATAAAAAAGTACTATAATTTTTTTTAATCTTGTATTAAACTTTATTAACCATAATTTTACAAAATCTAAAACCTTTGTCGCAGAATTTTTATTAAACAATTTCTCCTTATTTTGTATTAATTTAGGTCAAAATAAGTGGAAAATATTATATTTAGCATTTTAATAATTAATGTTTATGAAATGTAGGATGAAACTTTTCTGCGACAAAGGTAAAATCTTCCAAACTTGACTCTCGTTCAAACAATAATTTTGAATAATTTGTAATTTTTTGCAGTTATTTAGATGTAAGAGAAACAATTAATCATCATTAAAATTTCTTTAATTTACAAAATAAGTTATTGATAAACCTTTTCAATGGAATAAGGAAAAAAATTCAAACTACTTTTTTTGGGTTTTATATTTTAGTACAAATGTGATTCCGAAAATCTAACAAATTTTTTTAATAGCTGTTAGATTGTTTTTTTACAATTAAAAAATTCCAAAAATATACTTTCGCTTGTATTTCGAGCGTCAAAAAAATATAGATATAAGGGACAACGGTATCCCATTTTCAACACACAGAGCTAATGCGACATTTTTGAATCAATAAACAGTAGTCTAAAAAGTTTAACATTTCAATGTACAATTCTAAAACAAAAAATATTTTCGCACGAATTTTTTTTGCAGTTTTAAAAAAAATAATCTAAAGATTTTATAGACTTTTTACATTACTAATTGTCATATATCAACTTTTTTAAAGAATTTAGTACTACATGCACTTTTTTTTTTATAAAAAATGTAAAATATGTGACTTTTGCATGCTTTTCTCATGTAAATGTTTTTATATATATTTTAAGATTAACTCCACCAGTAGCTGGAGCTTTACTAGTCATGTTTCTATTGCCACTGTTAGGCTCGGGACCACTTTGGGAAGATGTTATTGGAAAGCAAGTTGGGAATTGTGAAAAATATTGGTGGCAAGCTCTTATTATACCAATAAATACTTGGACGCATTTTGAGGATATGGTAAGTCTAACGAATTTATTTTGATCGGGATAGTCTGGTTGACAGGGCACTGGACTCACATTTGTGAGAACGGGAGTTCGAATCCAGCAAGCCGTAGACTCCGCATGCAGTAAATAGTGACTGGTTCACGTTAAATCTTGCCGGTCACAAAGTCCTCTGTGTTCCCATAACAAATCAATACCTCTGGGGGCACTGAATTTTAGATTTATCTTTATTTGGTTCAGGTCAAAATTACGACCTGTGGACGAATGAATGAATGTATGAATGGGTCCGCCCTACAAACGGGTGTGGCGGAAATCAAATTCTTGGCCATAGGTGGCGTCACTAGAAACAAGAACAATTGTTTCCTCTCTGCCCTAATGACCCTATGATGAATTTATTTTTAGTTAGATTGTAACATGGAAAAAATAACACAAAGCTTAAGAATTTTTTTTTAAAAAAAATGCTCCATTTAATGTATTTTCTAAAATGCTTTAATACATCACGTATAATATACGAACAAAGTTGCATATCGATATATGCAAAAATAATTATTTGAAAAACAGTATTTAAATTATTAAGGGAAAAGCAATTTTAGAACACGATTTGCTTTATTTTATAAAACATTTAATTGAATATTCATCACAATATAAAGTTTAGGGTTTTGTAATATTACATTTACAATAATTTTCTATAATTGTTGAAAAATATTATTTAAAAAGAATTATAAACAAAAATATCACTGTCAAAACTTTTTCTTAAAATTGAGCAAAAATGTATCAAAATAGCACCAAAACAAGTAATAATCGAATATAAAACCTCGCTTATTCAAATTTGAAACAGCATATGATCATTTTTAAGCAGAATACATAGTCTCAAAAGCGATGTGGATAGGAAAAATGTGTGGGATATTCGTTGCCTGCCTGCGGGTTTAGAACAAATGACTTCTGGGATCGTAGCAAAACGCTCTAACCTATCAATCCAGGGAGAGTTAGAAAGCTTTATATAGTGATCACCCCGCGAATGCGCATCATGACATATACTTCATTTTCTCCAGAAAGTTTTTGTATTTATAGCCGAAGAGACAAAAAATGAAATTAAAATTACGATCTTGGGACCATTTTCTCTAAATTGCTGTATTTTTTAAAATTGTGATTGGAAATTAGCATGTCATGACTTGTCATTGTGCAGATCACTATATAAAACTTTCTAATAACTATATAAAGCTTGGGGTACACAAGTATGGTGGTTAAATCTTCCTACTAGCTCCACTAGGTCATCTCTCTCACAGATTTCTTCCTCCTCATCACTTTTGAGATTATGTATTTTACTCAAAAATTACTATACGGAGTTTCAATTTTGAATACATGGGGAATCCAGATTGGACTATTGCTTCTTTTGTTGCTAGTTTGATGCATTTTTGCTCAATTTCGACTTTTTTACAGTGATATTTTTGCTTATAATTCTTATTAAATAGTGCTCTTCTACAATTATTGTTATAGAAAGTAATTGTACATATAATAGTTTTTGTAAAATACGGTATTTATGTCATATATTAAGAATACATTTCGAAATACGGTTACCTCGATGTTCAAAAAATAAATAAATAAATACAGATAAAAATTACATTTAACGAGGTACTGATACATCGCTCAGCTCTAGGGGTAAAGTATTGTTTAAAAACAGGGACACGAAAAAGGAAAGCTCTTTTCTAAGAATATAATCTTAGAATTTCTGTATTTCCTCTCTCTCTTAATTTTTTAAATCTCTCAACCTGCTGAGTTATAAATTTGCTTTTAACGGTTGCTAACATCATGCTTTTAGCGGCTTTTCTATGTGATATTGGATTACTAACAGCTATAAGAAATAGAGAAATACCATTGGGGTAGAAATCTAAATATTTAATCTTCCAAAATTAATATTTTCATTTTTTTTTTATAATCATATTTTAATCGCTGATGAATAAGCACTCGGGATGTTTAAAGAAGAATATGAGGAAGAAAATGTTTTACTTTGTTATTATAACCTTCACTTGTTAACAAAGCATTAACTTTATTTTCAAGGTATCCTGCAGAGAAAATAAAGTTTCAAGGATTGAAACCACTCTGACTTAGTTGACGACTATTATGATACATTAAATAAATTTTATTTAAATCACGAGTAATAATTTTTACACCAATTTACATTTTATATTATTTATATCACATACAAAAATAAAATTCGTGAGCTGATAAAAGGTAAAAGAATATTTTGTGGCTACAATTTTTTAAAGAGATTCAATTAATAATGCATCAAAATTATACTATTTCAATAATTCTTTGATCATACATAAAATAATAGTAATAATAATAATAATAATATATATATATTTAAAAAATTGCACAAAAGATAAAGAAAGATATTAAAACTCGAAAGATTTTTCCTTAAACAATCGTAGAAATTATAGCTTGAATGTCACGATAGATTAAATGTTACGTTTCTCCTTTGTTTGCTCTGATTTTTTTATATATTTGCTTTATAATTTTATTAACGTTTTGTTTTTGTTTTTAGTGCCTTTTACACACTTGGTACATTGCCGCTGATTTACATTTGTATTTTATTGCTCCGCTTATTCTGATTCCTTTATTTAGGTAAGACAATTTTGTAAGCAATATTAGGGATCTGCATGACATTTTTAATGAATATATAAAAATAAGAAAACATGTAAAGCAATGAAAAAAAATTATGGATAATTATGAGTGTTCCAAAAAGTAACTAATGATTGGAGTAATCAATTAAAAAAAGGAAAGTAGATAACAATGTTTGGTTAGCTGCATTCTGTTTAGGAAACTAGAGATTTATTCTCACCATATTTCGAAATTAGCTCCCTCAACTGAGAGCGCTGCTGATTAGGAATCGTATTAAATAATCTTTTCAAACGACCACTATTTAAAACATCTATACTGCCCAGTGGGAAGACAGTATTAATCATCGCTCTTGTATATATTTCAGTTGAAATTTATTAATTAACAGCAGAAGACATTATTTATAATTTACCTAGTCATCAGCACCATCTATTACACTGTTAAAATTTCCTATCTAAAATTATGGTAAAATAACTGGCAGCTATCTGTCCATCCGATTAACCGTAAAGTTTAAAGTAAAGAATATTTTGTTTCCATTATGGTTTTGAAACCATTTACAAAAAGTACGGTTATAAAACCACGGATACAAAGATATACAGTTTTTAAACCATTTACTTCTAGCATTTTTCAAAAATGTAAAAAAATAATTATTATTTAATTGGACATGGGAGCTCGGCTCTTCGTAAGGTAATGGGCATTGGAGAGTGCCGGACACTGGAAATTCTTCATGTGTTGAAGGGAATGGAGGAAATATTGTGGTGTCAATACTAGGACTCGAACTCCAGTTCTGCCTGTTATAAGATTGACGCATAAGCTCTCGCGGCTATGATATGTCCGTAGTTGCGACGAACTAAGTAGCTTCATTTGGTGGTTCTAGTTGGTGCGATAAAATTCTGGTTGTTTAACCGTATTAGGTGAAAGCAGTTAATAAACAGTTTTTCTCCAACTTGACAGTGTGATTACCATTTTATTTATGGTTACTTGACTGTTTTGATTAAATACGGTAAAATAACCATTTAATAAATAGTTATTTAACCATTTTTTCGGAGAAATTTCTAACAATGTAATGAAATTTAACAATTTGTCAAACTTGGTGAGAATGAGTTGTCCGGTATTGAAAACAGTATGCATCTGACTGTCGTCACTTTTTTCTTTCCAACTGTTTTTCTTTCATTGATTTTTTTAAATTTAATGAAAATAAACAGGTTTTCTTTCATTAACTTTATTTCTCTTTCTTTAATTTTTTTTAAAAATTTCAGGCCATTTTTTGGGTCATCCAATATATTCCAAATATTTCTGTAATAAGTTTTAATCTTACAAATGACTGAAAAAATTAAATTTCAATTTTATAAATTAAAAAAAAAATTATGAACCGCTAAAAAACAGGTTAAAAATTTTCGAAGCATAATTTGTTTTTATAAAGGTTACATTTACACAAGTTTTAAGTGTTTCAGACCGGGCTTACATAATTTAATTAAATTATGAATAATTTAAATTAATTTAAATAAAAAATGCATACTGCAACGGATTCACCGTAGTTTCAGAATTTTTTTTTTGGCAAAGGAATTGTTCTTATATTCAATATTTTGGAATTAAAAAAGTCGTGCCTATCACTAAGGACAAGTAATTTAAACAGATCATACAGAATGCTTAAGTTTATAACTTTCAATAATTTTTTTTTAAAAACTATCTGCTTGTTTCAAAAATTTCTACCTTAGTTGACTTCAATTGAAAAAAAAATTGTGACTACGGAGAATCCGTAATAGTTGATGGAATTTCTGAAAATGTATAAAAATGATTGCTTCAATTGGGTGTTACTTTACATAGCTTTAATTGTAAACTATACCTATAATTTATCAAGGATAATATACGTAACTAGTTCCAAGTAAATATATTTTTATATTTTGAAAATTAGGAAAACTAACACAATTTATCTTATTCCCAATGTTTTATCTATGAAAAAGCCAAATTCATTAAATTATGCAATTATATTTACTTCGAATTCCATCACGATAATATAAAAATTATTGTAATAAGCTTTATTGAATTCCATCACGATTATATAAAAATTACTGTAATTATTGTAATAAGCTATATTATAAGCTATAAGCTATATTGTGTAACAATCCATGTAAATAGTCGGTTATTGTTAATACTAACGGGTCAATATTAATAATAACCCAATAATCCGGTTAAAGTGAATAATTTAAGCGAATTTATCACATGAACCGGTTATTATTATTAATAAACAATGATGTTTTGTCTATGTCATACTTTCGCTTTTTTATTTGGGATGTTTCCGTATCGTGATCTGCCACGACGACAACAATCGCCAAGGAGTCAAAATGATTTTATACTGAAATTTTCCTTTAAAAAAAAAAACCACGTCGATGTTTTCCCTGGCTTTCGAATTGGTCCCTTTCTGTCATGTTTTTTATAAGTTTCTCGCGGGCCGCTTCCCGAAAGTTACCAAGACTTGGCGATTATTCTGCCACAGAACACGATGAGGAAATCTCCCCTTTTTATCTCTCACTTTGACTTAAAGAAGCGGTTATTATTGATTTTGACCGGTTATTATTAATAATAACCGGATCTATCACTTCAGCAGTAATACATATACAAAGAGGCATACCAAATGTCCCAAATCATAAGCCGTTTAATCACATTGACCAAACTTTATTGGTTATTATTAATAATAACCGGATCTATCACTTCAGCAGTAATACATATACAAAGAGGCATACCAAATGTCCCAAATCATAAGCCGTTTAATCACATTGGCCAAACTTCATTGGTTATTATTAAGAATGACCGGCTGAAGGTGAATAACTTGCGTTATTCCTCACTTTGGTCAAAAGAAGCGGTTATCATTAATATTGACCTGTTAGTATTAATTGTAACCAGATTTATCACTTTAACCATAGCATTTATACTATCGATATTGTTGCATTTTTAGATGGCCAATGATTGGATTTTTAGTCATGATTTTCCTTACTGTCACATGTATGGGTGTCATGGCGGCTTTGACTATCATCAATGACTTTTACCCGACATTGCTGTATTTCACTCCAGATGAAAAGTCAGTACATAAACCATAGTTTTATTAGTTTTACTATTATACGTATTATTCATTATGCTATTTGTAATTTGGTTTAATTTTGGTGTTTGTTGATTTATCTTAATTGTTATGTTAGTTTGAGAAAGTAAATGAGATAATTAGTTTAGCTATTTTTTACTATAATATTTGTTATTTTATTAGTATTTTTAAAATATTATGTAATGCATTCAATAATCTATGACTTTTGTTCTCCATAGCTGCATTTCAAACAACTGTATGATAAACAGTCAATCCATAAATTACATTATTTTACTATTTTTTCTATTATAAAAAATATTCATTACGTAATTTTTAATGGTTTAATTGGCTAATTGCCCCATTTTAATTGTTATTCTTATTACGTACATTATTTAATATGCGTAACATTAATAATGCTGCACGGAAAAGAAATTCTGGTAAAATTACAGTACTGTATGTTAATGGCATACCTGAAAAAGAAACCCCATATTTCTGGTTAATAAAACCGATACTTATGGTATATAATCCATTCGATTTGTAATTTTTCCGTTAATATGATAACAATTTACCTGAAATTCTGATTTTAAAAATTATAGTTTTTATTATCATACATTTAGTAAGAATACAAAATTGAAAAATTAATTTAAACGAATAAATGGTTTTCATGCAATGCTCCAAAGTATCATGATAAAATTACCAAATTTTATCACATATTATAAAATTAAATTTTATTCTTAATTTTACCGAAATCATTATCAAAGATCTTCGGTAAAAATTACCGAGCTGTTTGGCTCCCATACAGGCAAAAGCATGGTAAATTTTAGCATATTTTGCGTAAATCCATTCACTTTTTTACCGGAACTATAGACTTTTTTTCCCAGTGCCACTTTTGCTCGACATGATTCGGGTGTTCTCTGCTTTGTTTTAATTTTACGTTACTTTAATATTTGGGAACAATTTATTTTGCAGTCCAGTTTAGTTATATTCACCTATTTTATCTATTGTATTTTTAAGGTTTACACATTATTCATAATTTACAGAATTTACCACACATTGCTGCATTTCACTCCAAATGAAAATACAGTGCTTAATCTTTACTCAACAATTTTTTTATTGTGTGTCACATAAATAGTTAAATTTTTTATTTGGTTTAATTACGATATTGTTGATTCTTCTGTTATGTGATAATATGTATTCTCAAATAATGATCAACTTAGCTCTTTTCAACTATTATATTAGATTTATGAATTAATTAAATTATAATTATCTTTAATGACTGATTAATTATAATTTTGTTTTAGATTTACGCATTTTATATGTGATTTGATGTACTTTAAACCATATCCTCACATGGGTGCTTACTGTATTGGTCTCGCTTTAGGATATTTTGTTTTGAACTATAGAAAAAAAGAAATGAAAATGGTATGTTTTTGATTTATTTTTTTAATTTTTAATTTTGAAATCTCAAGGCAATTTCAGCTTATCAGTTTGTAAATTTTTTTACGATGTAATTATTAAACCATATGCTTATTTCCTATTTTAAAATTTAAAACGTGCTTTATTTAAATTTATCGTGATAATCTCCTCATTTCAAGGTTTGTTACCTTTAAAATTTGGGAATCATCTAAAAATAAGTTTTACTTCACAATTTACTTAAATGAAGTGTGCAGTGTGTAAAAAAAGGACAACCCTGAATAACTTTTGATCTAATGATCGGATTTCCACTTTCTGGGACCCAATCTTATGGGTTTGAGGGCTTCAATATGCTATTTAATAAGTGCAGACGATATTTTAAGTTGCGAAATCGACACAAAAACGTACTTTGAATCAACATATTCGGATTTCTGACCCACAAAATACAGAAGGTAGTGGCAATCTAGGATATATGCTACCAATAGTTTGGTCAAGAGAGCGCTCCAAAATTTGGAAATTACATGTATATATACTATTCAAAACATACATACTATTTCAAAATTTGATAAAAAAACAATGAAAACCCAACTAAAATAATAAAATTTTATATAAAATCACTGAATTAATCGTATATGTTTGTGAATATATTTAATAAACATTTTTTTGGTTGTTAATTTGTATAATTTTTCCATGTGCAAATCCATTTCGGGCAAATCCGTGTCTAAAATTATGTGCAAAACAGTCAATTCATGTTTCTTTCTCTTTTCTATTTTATATATTTTTTTTCATAAATAAATATTTATTTTCAAAAATTATTTCTTGTCAACTTCTTTAAATTATCCAGTATAATATTACCTTGCGCACATCCATTTTCAGGTCCATCCTTGGTAACTAACAAATCAAACACATTTCAGTAATGCAGCAAGAACACACTTTAATACAAACTCCCCTAGTTACACTTTTAGCTCAATTTGCGCTTTTGTTTTCATTTTTTTGCAATCTGACAATCTTATTACGAAAAAATTTTAAATCATTCTTGAAAAATTTCCCTTTCATGTAAGTTCATTTGAATTCGCTACTCGCTTTATGGATTTCATTTCATGTTTTATTCTGTTTTTTCTTTATAATTTATTTTCTGCTTTTACATGATGATATTTTTACTTATTGTGTTCTATTTTATTTGTTGTAATTTTTTTGTAGGTAATTTTTTTGGAGTGCTTCTCACAGTATTGTATTGATATATTTTGCTTAGGCTATATTGATGCAATATTAGAAAGCACTCATTTTTGCGGATATAATCGTGTGAGCTGAAGAAAAGATTATATCTTTTATTTTCTGGATTTTAAATTTTTTTGTCCCCCCCCCCTGCTTTTTGTTATTTTTATTATTTTTCCTTTTTTTCATTGTTCTGTAATTTTTCCTTGTTTTCTCTACATTTTGAACTTATTTTATGAGTTCTATTTACTGGCAGCTCTATGGCCAATAATTAAAACTTATTGTTTTTCTTAATTTTCTTCGTGTTTTTTGTTTTTATTTATTACGTTATATATATATATANTATATATATATATATTAATAGTCATATTTTTAATTTGTGCCAACTATTGCATGTATGTTTGTGTGACTTAATGTGTTCTCTATTCTCATTAATTTATCTTTATGATAAGTGATGATAATGATGATGAAGTGAAATGATAAGTTTAACTTTATGATAAGAACTAGTCTTAATTGTTAAAATGTATGACAATGTTACTTTTATAAAATGTGCTCTATTTTCATTATTTTGACTCTTTGATAAGTGATGATGAATGGAAATAATAAGTTTAACTTATTGAAAAGATCTGATCTTGATTGTTTAAATGCTGAATGCTATAAGCAAAATGTCAAGTTGAATGCTATTAGTAGAATTGAAATTATTTTCTATTACCGAAGTGAAATGTGCACATTAACTATATATATATTTTTAATTTTATTGATAAATTCTTTTTACTTATTAAAATCGATGTGATCAAAAGGTCTATCAAGTAATTGGATGGTGTGCTGCAATTTCTTGCAACTTGGCTGTGCTATATGGCGCATTTGAATGGAATCGAGGCAATGTTCCAAGCAAAACTGTAGACGTCGCTTACGCTATGCTACACAGAACAGGTTGGGCATTTGGCATCGCTTGGTTGGTTTACATCTGCATCACAGGTAGAGGAGGTAGGTAACAAATTGCTAGTAATGCTGTGCAATACACTGCATCATACATCAATACATGGAAACTTCGTTACAGAAACAAAAGTCACTTAATTCAATAAGTACGAAATAGTTATTTTTGTTTTTAGTATAATAAAAAAAATATTTACTCCTCTATTTTTATTTTTCTCCATATTTCGAGTAAACCGATTCAGTGATGTATCATTTTCACTCTAAAAAATCCTAAATCAACATACGGTATACAGTACAGGAACTTTGGGTACATCATCCGAAAAATTCCTGCTACCATGAAAACCATTTTTACCGTAAAATATCTTCCCATGTAGTAAATGGTGACTGCTGCACTTTAAATCTGTCGGGTCACAATGTAATTTTTGTTTTTAGTATAATAAAAAAAATATTTACTCCCCTATTTTCATTTTTCTCCATATTTCGAGTAAACCGATTCAGTGATGCATCATTTTCACTCTAAAAATTCTAAATCCACATTCGATATACAGTACAGGCTCTTTGGGTACATCATCCGAAAAATTCCAGCTACCATAAAAACCATTTTTACCATGAAATATCTTCCCGTGTAGTAAATGGTGAAATGGCACTTTAAATCTGTCGTGTCACAATGTATTCCGTGTTCCCATGACAAATTAAACCTCTGGGGGTACTGGATTGGAGATTGATCGTTCTCTTATTTAGGTCAAAATTATGATCTGCGGATAAATGAATTGATGTATGAATGGGTCCACCGTATAAACTGTGGTGACGTATAAGTGTGGCAGAACTAGAATTCTCAGCAATAGATGGAGCCACTGGAAAACAAGAACAATAGCACCTCTTGCCTTAACGACCGACGACAACAACAACAACACCCGTAAAATATTGTACAGTGATTTTTTTCAGGAATATTTATTTAATTTAGAGTGATTCTACGGTAATTATTATAGTAAAAAATACAGGTATATCAGATATTTTGTTCCGTAACATGTTCCAGAAAAGTGTAATAATACCGATTTTAATGTATATAATACGGGCACTCCGAGTACTGGTATTTTCTGCAGTAATTTGATCCGAAATTACAGTAATTTAGAAAATGTACTAAAAATTTTCCCTCCTCCTAAGAAATGCCTTCGTTAAGTTGTGATTGATGAAATTTACAAGAATCTCCAACTGTTCACTGTAAAAAAATTCCGAATGAAATTCCGGTAAAAAGTGTAGGCTCTCTGAGTACAATATCCGTAAAAACCATCTAGTAATTTTCCCCTTAAATTTTTAATAAATAACAGTAATAATAATTAAATATTTTTTAAAAAAACACAGTAATATTTACTTAATTATAATGATTTAGTGATTTTGCAGTAAATATTACTATGAAAAATACGGTGCATCAGAGTTTTTGTGCCGTAAATTGTTACATTAAAATTGAATTTTACTGTTAAAAGTACTGGCAGCCCTAGATCCGGTACCTTTTACCTCAATTTGATACTGAATTTTTTAGAGTATGGTGCTTTTGCCCTAGATTATTACACTAAACATACTCTGAATATAAAGCTGCATCGATTTGTTATTTTTTTTTTAAGTAACGTATTTTTTAACTTAAAATATAAAACCCTTTTGAAATAAACTGAAAGCTTTTGCATTTTAACCTTCGCTGCTCTATGTCAGATCAGACGGTTAACTACAATCGTTTTGTTTCACAGAGTAAAAAATTACTGCTTGAAGTACTGGTACCCCGAGTGCTGGTACTTTTTATTGTAAAATCCATTTTTACTCTAATTTCATGGAACAAAAAAAATCTGATATACTGTATTTTTGACAGTAATATTTCCTGAAACACTGTGATAAAAGAAATATTATTGTAAGAATTAGGGTACAAAATTTTACGGTAAAAATGAATTTTGCGGATGCTGCACTCACAGTTCCATACTTTTTACTGTATATTTTATTCGAAATTTTTACAGTGTACTAAGCTATATCGCGATATTCGGCCTTGTATATTGTCCCAGAACATATTTTTTTTGTCTACTTTTAATTTATTCGAAATTAAAGTCTCTTTTATATTTGTTTGATTATTTCATGCTATTGTTCAGTAATTATAAAAAAACAAAGATACAAAATAAGAATGTAAACATAAAGCTCTTTCTTTAAAAATGCTTTCCGAAGTAATTTTGAAATTAGTAAATTTTTGAATTCCTTTAAATTAAAAAAAAAATATTGCTCACGTTTTTACCTTTTTTCAGGTCTCGTCAACCGTTTCTTATCATGGGACTTATTTATCCCTCTGAGTAGATTGTCCTATTCTTCATATATTCTACATTTTCCCGTTCTTTGGGTTAGGAATGGATTTAGACGAGAATCGCTACGTTTCCACCACTACGAAATTGTAAGTAAAGAATATGCAGAATTCTCAAACTAAACAATATTCTAAAATTTTGTTTATTTTATTTATTTATTTTATTTATTTCTAATCCCCACAACATTTGACAATATATGCAACCTTGGTATTTAACTGGCGATATTTTTGATCCCTTTTTCGTGGGCACCACATATGTAGATCAGCTTCACCCCAACAGTTTAAGGACAGAGGGAACAGAGCGCGATATATTTCATCCATGCCAGAAGTGGGATTCGAACTCGGAACCTTTCTGAGATGAAGTCAGCTCCCTGACCATCATACAGTCTGGTCGGTTCGATGATTCTAAATTTCATGACATCAAAAAAATTTTAATAATTTGTTTCATTTTAAATTAAATTGGAAAAACTATTTCAACTCTCATGGAAAATTTTAATTACGGAAAAAATTGCTCGTGTACTTTTTCAAGTATCACTAATATTTCAAAACGTAAAACACCCAGAGAGTGGAAATTTAAGTATTGCATTTACCATTATGACAGGTTCATAACTATTATGCGTAACTTTCAATAAAGTACAATTGTTTTTGTATTTTTCTTGATCTTGTTATATATTTTTTTAATTCATACTTATGTTAGCCAGATATTTTTAGATACTTATAAGATTTTAAATTTTAATTTTTTTATAATATTATTTACAACAAATCCAGATATATTGATAAAATAGTGGTTTTTTTTATATAAAAACACATTTATTTGACACAAAACATGAAAACAAAATTAAATTCAAATACCCGTAACGGGTGAGTTAGTACAATCTTCGCAAAAATAAATTCAAATACCCATAACTGGTTAATACAATCTTCGCAAAATTAAATTGAAATACCCGTAACGGGTGAGTACAATCTTCGCAAAAATAAATTCTAATACCCGTAACGAGTTAGTACAATCTTCTCAAAAATAAATTCAAATACCCGTAACGGGTTAGTACAATCTTCGCAAAAATAAATTCAAATACCCGTTACGGATTAATATGAACCTTAAATACAAACAAAAACTATTCTCAATAAAATTTAACTTTCCAAAGGCCAATAAACAAATTCCAAAAATTGTCTCGTTCTTTTATTTGTTCTTGATCTCGTTACATGCTTTATTTAATTCATGCTTACGTTAGCCAGATATTTTACCGATAGATATTTTATAATGGGTATCATCTAGGGAGCTGTTTATTATGGGTTAATTTTACTCAAAATATAAACCGCAAAACAAAGGCAGTTTTCTTTTCTTTTTTTTAAAACTTTTTTACACAAATATTTAATGCAGAGTTATCGTTTGAACCTTTTTCTTTCTTTTTAGTTCTATGAGTTCCTGGCCACACTAGCATTAACCCTTTGTCTTTCAATAACTTTCCATATTTTGTTCGAAGCTCCATTCCTCAACTTAGAAGAAGTCTGGTTCCCCAGACATAGCAAGAAAAAGGAAGAAAAGAAGAAACCAACTGAGAATGGAACAACAATTATACCTGTGGCGAAAATGGAGAACGTTCTCACTAACGGTCACGCGACAGATGTCTTTTCTGTACGACTTTGATTACCTTTGATAAAGTATCTTTATCCTGTAAATAAATAATAATGGTATTGTCTTATAAAGACTATCTGTTATGTTACGCATGTAGTATTTGACAGTTATTTAAGGATGGATCATTGTGCTGTAAATAAAATATCATGTTTTTCTTTGTAATGAAATATTTTTTGGAAAACAAATTCCTCATTTTCATAGATTTTCAAATATTTGCATATGTAAATTAAATAATTAAACGAATGAATGAGATACTTATAACAAGAACAACAAAAAATTAAATAATTCATTTTATAAACTTACCTTCTAACATTGCTTTAATCAATCAAACTTCTACAGAGAATCAGCCATTCGTTACTCCTTCTTAAGAGCAAAAACTAAAGTATTTTCATGAAATTTTAACTTTTTTAAATATACTGAATACCACTTTCATTTACCTAACTTTAGAATTTTTTAAAGAGCTTTTCAATCAAAAAAATTGTTAATTAATGCAAGATCAAAAATTTACTTTGTGATACGTTTCATAGTGACTAAGATGAGAAGGGTCATATTTCTGCGATAATAAACTAAAGCATTTATGACATTATGACCACCATCCATGTATAAAAACGGGCTCTCTCAGGTTTTCATGGTTTCTCGAACAGGAACAATGTTTTCATGGGGCACATTAGGACCCATAATCCTCATAGAACAATCCCTGACGTCTGTAAGCTACTTGAACATAGTTGCAGACCAGGTTCACCCATTCATGGCAACAGTTTTCCTGCGGGGGATGGTGTTTACCAACAGGATAATGCACCATGTCATAAGGGTCGAATTGTCATGGATTGGTTCGAGGAACATTCCAGTGACTTTCAACTCATGTCTTGGCCTCCAAATTCACCTGACCTTAATCCAATAGAGCATTTGTGGTCTATGATGAGGGAAGACTTTGCTTCTCCGTCATTAGCCGTATAGTTGATAGTGGTTTTACATGAATGTTCATTTAGGCCATTAATGAATGAATTGAACGATAGAGTTTCCATGAAATAATGTACAAATCGTTGAATGTAAATTTAGATTTTATTAAGCATAATTTAAGATTTCGAGTGGCCACANAATTTTTAGTCAATATTTCCTCAAACTATTTCCCATGCATGGTAAAAACTCCAATTATGGTAAAAAGTATCAACACTCAGGATGGAGATATTTTTTGCTTAAAACCTGTTTTTACTTACCTGTTTTTTGCTTAAAACCTGTTACCAAAACATGTTACTGATATAAAAAAAATGTGATATATTGCAATGTTTTAAGTAATAGTTACTCTAAAATCTCTGAAATACTCTAATTAAGTAAATAATACTGTAAAAATTACTGTATGGTATTATACAGGAAGAAAAATTACGGTAAAAATAAATTTTACAATAAAAAGGTTTGAAGAATGATACACCCAAAGGACAGATACTTTTTACCATAGTTTAATCCAAATTTTTTACTGTGTGTAATTAAATAATTATATCACATCTCAAATTCATAATAGCTTACATAAATGGTATTAGGATTATAGATAAAATGTTTCCATAAGGGAAAATTTGGTCTTAAAAAAACTGTAGTTAGTGTAAAGGAAATGACCTAGAAACTATATGGGTTATTCAATCAATCTGTTTTACGTTTTAAAGAAAAATTTTAAGCAAGAAAAAAAGTTATGTCCTAATCCTACGCATATATATAATATACGTAGCATGTAATATATAATTATCTTTTAATGATCAAAACTGCCTTTTTTTCATAAAATACTAGCTTATTTGCTAAAAATGGCAGAACTTACAAAGTAAATAAGACCATAGTATGTAAAAACCTGTAAACATGACGTATGATTTACCATAAAATTTGAGCGTTTTATACTTAGATAAACACTTAGGACAAAAAGACGCAATGCAACTAAAACGACATTGCATAACAAATGGAAAATAACATTGCTTGTTCAAACAATTTTTTTTATTAATTACATTAAACTGTCATTATGTTTTTTTTTCTTCATCTTTTTCAAAAAGTTGATTGGAATCATAAAAATATCTGTTTTCTCCATTCTTATAAGAAAATCTATCAACGTAATTACAAACCAATAAAAACATTTCCTCATATTACTGTTGTAAACAAAGCATGGAAAAAAAAACATGTTTTATAGATAAATAGAAACTGGGAGGAAATATTAACGTGTTTACTTCTTCATTTTAACCACAGACAACATTTCTTGTTCAGAAGATCACCAGCCCTTAATCAGAATAAATCAACTTTTGAATTAAATGAAGAAAAATCTAAAAAAAATAGCAGATCTTTGAACTCAGGATTTTGAATTTTGCTGATAAAGTAAGCCCTTTTATATTTTTAATTTAGTGCAGACTAACAAAAACAAAATTTGAATCTATTCAATTCCGGGATTTCGGCAGTTAAAATTTTAAAATAATTAATTTTATTTCCATTAAATTTATTTATGTACTGTTCGAATTCTCATTCTAAAATTATGGTAAAATAACTGGCAGCAGTTTGTTCATCAAATTAACCATGGATTTAATAGTAAAGAATATTTTAACGGTTTTGTAACCATTTACAACTAGCATGGTTTCAAAAGCATAAAATATAAATTTAACTGGACATAGGAGCTTGACTTTTTGTTAGATAATGGACATTGGAGAGTACAACATACAAATTTTGCAGTAGAAGATACTGGAAGTTATTTATGTGCTGAAGGAACTGAATGAAACTTTGTGGCGTCAATCCCCGTTCTGTCAGTCATGGGACTGACAGATTAGCCCTCTTGACTATAACATGTACCCAGCTGCAAGGAATTAAGGGGCTTGATTAGGTGAGCTTAGTAAAAAAATTCTGGTTGTTTAACCGTATTAAGTGAAAGCAGTTAATTAACGGTTTTTCTCACATTTAAAAGATCGAATACCTTCTTTTTTATGGTTATTTGACTGTTTTGTTTGAATATGGTAAAATAGCAATTAAAAAATTGATATTTAACCATTTTTTTTCTAGAAATTTCTAACAGTGTTTGACGCTTTATCACTGGACGGTATAAATATCTAGTGGAAGATTTTCTAAGTTATGTTTGTAATTTTAAAAGTTAAAAAAAAATGAATTCAAATAAACAAAGAGTGAACTACGAAACTGAAATTCTTTTTTCAGAAAATCCAATCTCCAATAAATTGTGTAAAATAGCTGCTCCGTTAAGAAGAGGGGAAATAAACCTGTAAAAATTTGTTTGCAATTTGATATTTTAAAAAAATAATAATAATTTCCAAATTTGAAACTTTCTTGAATTAAAATTTAATATCACTAACGCAGTTGCTAAATGATGTTCAAACGTGTAATTTTCTACGATTTTTTTCTAAAAATTAACAATGCACGAAGGTTTCTTGCTATAAGTATACACAAAACTTAAACCTAATAAAATAACTTTAAAAAAAATGTTGATTAGAATTCTTTTAGAAAATAACTTATCGATATAGTACCTGGATTTAAAACAAACACATTTAAAATTTATCTTTCATAAATGATCCGAAAAATTAATTTAAATAATTAAGTTATTTATTTTTTTTTTAAATTTACGCTTAATTACAGAAGTGGTGTGAGAAAAAAATGTTCTTTTCGTGCTGAAATTTGCAATTTTAAAAAAAGCCTACAAAGCAGGTACGCGGCAAAAATTTCTTACTTTTGGTACTTTTTGACTTAATTTGACCAACATAATATGACCCGGAATTTTATGTAATTTGACTAAGACAATTATTTGTTTAATTAAAGTGATTCATTTATTTTACGGTAATTATTACCGTAAGACTTTGGGTACATCAGATTTTTGTTCAGTAACATGTTCTGGTAAAATTAACGGTAATTTTACAATAAAAATCTCCAACACCCTAAGTATCAATACTTTTTGACGTAAATTGACCAACATAATTTGACCTGGAATTTGAAGTAATTTGACCAACACAATTGGACTTAATTTGAAACAGAATTTTTTACTGTGTACGAGATACTGATAAAAAAAAAAAGTTCCTATTAGCATTTATTTTGAAGTGTTACAAGCTTTTCTCCCTTTCATGTAAGTTATTTTTATATTCATTTAAGAAAGGAAAACCTCAATTAAAGTGTCATTAAATAATTTTGTAAGTGAGAGAATTCTAATTTATTAATAATTATTACCTGATCAAACCTCATTACCTGATTTTTACCTGACCAAAATAAAGTACTTTTTATAAAATCATGCCCCAAGTTGTTCTGAAATCTCCACCATAATAAATAATTAGATAAATTAGATAATAATTAGAGGAATTAATTAATCTAATGAATTAATTAATTAACAAAAATCTGAAACAAACGAAAAATAATTATTTGAGATTGTTGTTTGAAATCAACTAATATAAACTCCAAGTTCATTAGTTTCACCGTTTACGTTGAAATTCGCGATAAAAATATCCAACTTTTTTTCAAACGGTATTCATTTCTAGGAATTGTTGTAGTTAATTTGCGTAGCACTATAGCTGCACAATGGGCTGTTGGCGACGGTCTGGGAAACATCTTTGAGGATGATCCGAAGATATGCCAATTTTGATCCTCAGCAAAGGGGATGGCACCCCAGCTCCGGTAGCCCGACGACCTGCACGCGAAGTCGAGCACTTCACGGTAGTTTAACAAGGAACATACCGCACAGCCTCGGTCCCTACGCAGACTAATCCAAGTGGTCACCCACCCGCACACTGACCGCAGCCAGTGATGCTTCACTTCGGTGACCTGCTGGGAACCGTGTCTTAACGATCAGTCCACTGCGAGACTCTTGGAATTTGCATTATCTGCATTTACAAATCACTTTACTGTAACTCAGGTTGCCTTACCTTTTTACCGCTAAGCCAGTCTTTACCACAAAGTTTTACGGAACAAGCAATCTGATATACCGTAATTTTTACGTTATTTACTGTAAAATCACGGAATCATTATAACTAAATAAATATTATTGTAAAAATTACGGTATGAAAGTTTACGGTTAAAAAGGATTTTACCGTAAAATGGATTTTAAGGATACTACAATCAGGGTGCCAGAACTTTTTACCGTAAGTTGCTACGGAATTTTTTACAGTGTTGTAGATAGTTACAGAAGTTATAGTGCTTGTCATAATTTGAATTATTTCAAATGAGTTTAGACAAATATAAAAGCAACGAAGAAAAATATTTCAAAGAAAGCATGGCATAAAGATTTTATAATCTTCCTAACTTTCACAACATTTATGAAACAGGTTTGAGAACATGTAGAATTTACATTATGCTTTGGAAAGAAAAAATATATAATTATTTCCAAATAAGAAATATAACTTCTTTTAATATACCTTATGGTATGCACCAGGAAGAGACTTTTGTTTTTAAATAAAATATTGCTTACTTCATTTCAAAGGCAAATAACAGCAAAATTATGAAAATAAAAATAATTCAGCGTTAAACAGCTTCAAAAATTATTTCTCAGCTAATTTTTGCATATTTTTTTTTATAAATAAATTTCATTTTACATAAAAAAGACTTTTATCGAAAGTAAATAATATTTTATGAGATTTAGTTGCTAATGTCAGAAAATAAGCTATTAAACTTGTTATTGTTTGTTTACGGGAAACGAGAAGTAACATTTTCAAGAGAAACTTTTGAAATATCAAAAACAAGTTTTATTGTTTTGTGCACAAAACTGCGTCAAAAGTGTTATATTTGTGAAATTAAACTTATATTATCATCAACTTAATGAAAAACAATTTTCTTACGTAACACAAAATGTTTCTTTTTTTAATAAATTGGAAGAGAATTGTTCTACTTAGAGTTGATATCCACCGATCTGCTATTAACGTTATTGTTTTTTTCACTTGTACAATTTTTCTACTTAATGGTGCACCAAGTAAGTAAATGAACGTAAAAATTTATTTTTGATAAGGGAATAATTCCTTTTTTAAAGCAATTTACTGTAGAAATAAATTAATATTAAATTTAAAACAATTTTTGTACTGAGAGAATGATTACTATCATGAATTAAATTAAAGACTAATTGAAAGTAATTTATAGACTAATCGACTATGAAAGGATATAACCTCTCTTTTAACACACATTGTTATATCCCCAAAGGGTGCTTTCTGACATTGTATAATTTCAAATTCTACTTACCCTGCCTCTCATGTTAACCTGTACAGAATTATAAAAATACTAATTACCTATTTATCTACTTCACTCGTCTTCCAGGTCAACCTATACAAAATTATACTAATTACCAATTTCCCTTCATTGAGTCACTCATTATTTTGGAAAATACAAAAATATATTTTATGAGTATTTTTTCCAAATTTTAACTTTTAATAATTTATACTAATATTTAAGTCACTGATTAATATTTTAAAATATTTTATTCATTTTAACAAAAATCAGTTGCCAATTTTAAGATTTAAGGATAAATTGTTTTTAAAAAGTTTTTGAAACTGCTATAGTAGATTTGGTAAAGTTTTTTTTTTTTTTTTTTTTTTTTTTTTTTTTTTTTTTTTTTTTTTTTTAAGAATAGTTTCAAGACAGTTCAAGTTCAAAAAAATTTGCAAGTCCCTTGAAATTAAATTTTGTGTTAATGCACATGAAATATATTTTAATATTTTTTTTAAAATTATAATTAGTGAATTAATAAATGAAGAATTAGAAAGTAGTTGTATAATTCAGCATAGGTTAACTTGGAAGGCGGTACACTGTAAAAAATTTCTGATAAAACTACGGTGTAATGTACAGGCATCGTGAAGGCCAGTACTTAATTAAAAACTTTAACGCATACATTCAGTCTAAAGATATTTTAAAAAATTTAAGTAAAATACTATTTCAAAATTTCATTTATTAAATTAACAAAAATTCAGAAATAAATTATGAAAAACCAAAATGAAAATTTCCATTAAAAAAATTGTGTACTCTGTTGCAAATCCAAAAAAACCATTATCCCTTTGGAGAAAGCCTGAATGTATATAAGTGCATGCTAAATGAATGTTAAACTTTAAGCGCGAACGAATATCAACATCGCCAACTCTTGAAACGACGTAGCACAGCCTTCTTTTATTTTCTAAAAAATAGTACGAATTAAATTTCTATCCGACGAGTTTAACTTTTAGAAGATTATTTATTGTTTTGAATGCATAATTATATAATTTGATAACTAGATAAAGCGGAACTATATGCATTCGCGGATGATTACTTAAATCCTAGACACCGCAATGGTCTTTTCTTATATTGCACAGAGTATAGAAAAAATACTTAACTCTAAAAACTTTCATAATTAAATATAATTAAATAATTTATTGACTCGACAATAAATTATAAATTCTTTTTCTTTTCAGATTACGAACCAAAATCTTTTATCAGAAAGCAGTGGTGCATAATGACAAAGTTCCACAGATATCGCCGTTTAGCTTTCATATTATTATCATGCCATGCCACATATATTTTAATAAATTGGTTCATCATTGGGAAACTTCTAACAAGCGTGCACTTTTCGTCGGACGATAAAGGCGTTTTAACATTTATCAATGTAGTGAAGGAAGACAACATAAGCAGCAATATAAGTAGGAGTGGAAAATGGGTAATTAAGTTTAAGGATGGCAGTAGCAAAGTATTAAATAGAACAAATGGAATAGATTCTTTTGACTCTGATCATGTTAGAAAGACTGAAAACCAAGAAGCACATTCATCTTTGAAGGATACATTATCTACTTGGCTTTCTTCCAGTAGTTACAGACATTCTACTTTGAAGTTTGCAATTCAGCAAAATCGTTCGCAATTGCAAACTACCGCTCTTTTGCAAAATAACCATTCTGAGCACAACTCACTCAAAACTGAACAAATCTTCAAAAAAGCTCATAGCTTGGTGTTTGAAATGCAACGAAACCAATCACAGTCTCAAAATACAACTCGTCTACAAGCCAATCTCTCTGTGTACAATTCAACCGAACAAAATTCCAAAGTAGTCAAACGTCTGATGTTTGGAAGAGAACGAAACCAATCTCAACTTCAAACTAGAAAGCATCATAGGTATCCTGATCCCAATGTGTCCGAAAACAATTCCAACGTAACCATGTCTTTATCTACTTCAAAAACAACCATCACTAAAGAAACTTCAATGCCTAAATCCAAAAAGAAATCTGGTTTGATCATAGACACTTCAGGATGTAAGATACCAAAATTGGATCCATTTGATCCAACCGTGAAAAATTTGACAGAACTCCGTATACCATATTATTGTCCAGGCCCACCATTATTTATGACACCTGAACCAAATGGTATAGTCCGTCTTAATACTTTTGTTCTGGAGAAATATTACAATACTACTCCAGAAGAAGTAAAATGTTATTTCGAAGCTATAATACGCAAATACGAAGAACCTGGAAATGTTAGAGAAATCAGCTTTATCGTTGCTAAGGCGCGAGAGTTAGTATTTGATGTACCAATGGATTATGAGTACATTGCATCAAAGTGCTTCTTAAACAACAACTACACCCATGAACAATACTTTCCACTAGTTAAATTAAAAAGGGAAGTAGAGGAAGTGAAATCAAAAATAAAACCTGCTGCGCCTCTAAATGTAATACTTTTAGGGATTGATTCGGTATCTAAATTGAATTTCTTCAGACATTTTAGAAAAACGAAACCTTTCTTAAAAAACATCAAATCTTTTGATATGAAAGGATATACAAAAATAGGAGACAATACATTCCCAAACTTGATGGCAATGTTAACGGGCCATTTTGTGGACTATTACTGGGATGAGACAATGAGAGACGATTTCTTTTTCGATAATGTTAGTTTAATTTGGAAAGATTACGCAAGAAAAGGATTTAGAACATTTTTTGCTGAAGACACTCCGTACTTTGGTACATTTAACTTATTAAAGAGAGGATTTCATGATCCGCCCACTGATTATTACTACAGACCAATGGCGTTAGCCATTGAACGATCAAAGCTAAGGGCTAAGGCTAGAGAAGATAACTCTCCATGCCTAAATTCAGAAATGGAAACGGAACTTATGTATGATTACTTGAAAAACTTTGTTAAAACGATGGATAATAGACCTTATTTTGCTTTTTGCATGGAATCCATGCTTACTCATGACTATTTGAATGGTGCTGGCCGTGCTGATGCACCAACATTAAAATTACTTCAAGTTTTACAAGACGAGGGAGCTCTCAATTCAAGCGCTTTGATCATATTCAGTGACCATGGCTTACGTTTTGGTGAAATAAGAGAAACATACATAGGCAAGTTTGAAGAAAGAATGCCATTCATGTACCTACATTTTCCAGAATGGTTTCTTAAACAACATCCAGATATTGAAAACAATCTGTCAATCAATCAAGACAGACTTACGACATTATTTGACATCCATGCCACTTTAAAACACTTACTCCACCTAAATGAAAATCACACAGAGGAAACTGATGAATTCGGATTGAGCCTTTTTAACGAAATACCAGAGAACAGAACTTGCGCTGATGCTCACATTCAACAACATTGGTGTCCATGCAATAGTTTTAAACAAGTGTCAGTAAATGATTCAACAGTCTTAAATATTTCCCTAGCTTTGGTTAAACATGTAAATGAGCTTTTGCTTCCTCATGCTAATGTCTGTTCTACGCTGGAAGTGGCAGAAATAATGGACGCGCGATTGGGATTACCGAATGAATATTTATTAAAATATAAAAGGCTTGAGGATGATATTCATCATAGAGTTGTTATATTAGGTGATGAGCCTCCATTGCTCGTTGATTATCTTGTGACGCTGAAAGTAAAGCCTGGTGGCGGTATACTTGAAGGTACAGTGCGATATGATGCTGAAAGGGCTCTTCCAAGAGTTATTGGTGTCAGTAGAATTAACATGTATGGTGATACTTCATGGTGTATAAACAGTCAGTCACTTAAACTTTATTGCTATTGTAAGAAACAATTGACATGAACTATTGAACACAGTAATTATTGCGAAGTTAAAGTCTCAGTGGAAAATGATGATTAAAAATTGTTCAAATGTTATTGGTGTCAGTAGAATCAACATGTATAGTGATACTTCATGATGTGTTAACAGTCAGTCACTTACACGTCATTGTCATTGAAAGAAAAATTGGCATGAATTGAAAAATATGGTAGTGTCTGCGACGTTGAAGACAGTCCAACATGATGCCTGAAAAAACTGTTTCTATAGTTATTGGTGTCAATAAAATTAAAATATATGGTGATACTTCATGATGTATGAAAAGTCAGTCCCTTAAACTTTATTATCATTGAAGAAAACAATTGATATGAACTATCAAATATGGTGGTGACTGCGACGCCGAAGAAATAGAGCAATGTGATGCCTAAAAAAAGCTATTTTTAGAGTTTTTGGTGTCAGTAGATTCAACATCTATGGTGATACTTCAGGAGGTATAAACAGTCAATCACTTCAACTTTACTTATTTATTTTTTATTTTTGAAAGAATCTATGGAAACTCAGAATTATTAAATTTGGTAGTTTCTGCGATGAAGATATAGTCCTGTAAGATACCAAAACAGCCTGTTTCAGAGCTTTTTGGTATCAGTAAAAGCATCATATATTGTAATACTTAATGATGTAAAGAGAGTAAGCCATTTAAATTTTATTGATGCTGAAAGATTAAGTTAACATGAGTTATTAAATATGTTAGTGACTCGGATGTTAAAAAAAACAGTGACCTATGATGCATAAAAATCTGTTCATTATTCATGGTGCATAAATAATCAGTCATTATTTAACGATATTTCAGGAAATAATTAGCATGGATCATAAGATATGGCAGTGACTAGGATGTAATTAATAAAATTCACCTGATTAAAAATTACCTAAAACGACAGATAGGATCTCACTCAAATGTTTTTAACTTAATTTATGATCTTACGTTACTTTGCGTTTACTGATATGAACATTTGAGTTTTAACATAATCATGATAATATATGTTAGCTAATTCAGTCAAAATATGCAATTTGTTTGACCACTTTTGAATTCATTAAAAAAGAAAAAGAACAGTCTTCCTTTAACACAATCATTTAGTTAAAAAAAAATTGGACTTCAGATCACTTTTCTGAAATATTAACGACGTTTTGAGATTGAAAAATATTTTTAAAGGAAATCGCTGTTTCAGTAATGGCGCATGAAAACTGACAATCTGACATTTGATATCTTCACGGTAAAAAATTCTGGATCAAATTACGGTATAAAGTACCGGCAGTTCGGGGGGGGCATCATCCGTAAATTTCTTTTCACTGTAAAATCTGCTTTTAACCGTAAAATATTACACCGCGATTTTTCTTACAATAAAATTAAACTAATTAGATTGTTTAAGTGGTTTTAAAGTAATTAATGCTGTAAAAATTACTATATATCATATGTTTCATTTTGTAACATCCTGTCAAAAATGGATTTTGCTGTAAGGAGTACCTCTACTCTGAGTACCGGTACTTTTTACCTTAATTTGATCCGGAATTTTTTGCAGTGTGGACGAGTACTAGTTAAACTGAGTTTCAGAAAAATAGTTCAAGGAATTTAAATCAGGGATATTGGGTAACCAGAATTCTTTATATTCGAGTGTTCAACATTGTTCACGTTGTTCAACATTGATACTGAATTCTAACTAAGCGATTAACTATATTTTTATATTTTTTTAGCTTTGAGCATATACTTTGAACATTTTCCCACTCTATTATTAATAATAATGTTTATAAATTAGCAAAGTTTTTTTTCTTATATTCAACACTAGCATCCATTCAACAAATCATTCGCATCTATTCCAGTTCAAATAAATTGTTAAAAATATTCGATATATAAATTATTAAATTGAACTAATCGTTCATTTCAGTTCGATATTAACAATAGTATCATGCAATGAAGTTTAGAAAGGATTAATTTCAAAGGTAAGAATGCCCCTTTTTGCCACATTACTATAGTTGCAACAAATTCATAAGATTATAGAACCAATTCTCAAAGCTTTAAGAGTGTACATAATTGTAAATTGAACCTCCTAGTTCCCCTTAACAATTTTGATGAATGCTTTTATGTAAATTTACATAAACAGAGAAACAAAATTTTGTACACATTTTTGTTTGTACACATTCAATAAGTAGGTACAAGTTTTGAAATCACGAATTTAAATTTACAAGGATCTCTAAAGAGTAGTCTTACAAGATTGAGCACTGTAATAAATTTTGAAGTATGTTAAACCACAAAGCCGTTCAAATTTGCTGCAACATTATCATGGTGCAAAGTTAAAACTTCTTATACTCTACCTCTTAATTTTAATTGCGTGATACTATGGTTTAATTCATCACATTGTTGAGGCTGTAGAAATTTTGCACTGTACTAGTACTTGTAGAACCAATATTATGGTGCAGTGTTAAATTGAGTTTTGGGCGACTGTATAAGTTTTTATAAGTGTGTGACATCATAAAAAATTATTTTATTTTATAAGTGCATTTTATGTTTATCATCATTATTTATTTATTTTTTCATAGTTTTAATTTATTATTTAAAATTAAAAGCTAATGTGAATATAACATGTACGATCATTGTCTGTTTCATAAAAGTGTCTAATAAAATGAATTAAATAATTTTCATAGTGGCTTCTTTCAGTTTTCTTTTCTCTTGTGTACATTTAAGCTAAATTTGATTATTTTTAGTTTGTAAGTTTTTTTTGTAGTATTTAAATTATAAATACACGTAAAGTTTTATTAGTTTTCTTTTAACTTTTTATAATAAATCTTTTCTACTAAGTAATCATATATTTTAGGTATTTACGAAGTGTTTTTCCCAAAAAGATCAAAACTAATGCAGATTTAAAATTCGTCTGAAAATTTTGAAACTTTTTCTAAGCTAAGTCACTCATTCAAATATTCTTGTGTTTGAAAAGTAAACATTTAAAAACATTATAAACTGATACATTACCGATAGAAATGATACAAATACATTTACAATAGTTATATTAATATAATTGATCTTATTGAAAATCGTTAGATTTTTTTATTCACCTTTCTGTTTAAATAAATACGAGACGCAGTACACTATACATTTAAATTTCATTTTTTCCAACGTCGCTTAAAATTTAATTAACCAGAATTTTTTTCCGATATACATTTAAGCGTTTTTGTACATTTAGGAAATTTTCAGAACATATATTTTAATTATTTTTACTAATCATTCTTTGTGACTTATTAATAATTCAATTAAGTAATTATTTTAATTCAAATTTAAGATATTTGTTGCCTTTTAACTTTTAGTAATCTTACAAGTTGTATTAACGAGATGGAAAGTTGAGCATCGCAGTGGCCCACGGGATAGAACGCTTGTCTCCCAATGAGGTGACACAGGTTCGAATCCCATCAGTAGCTAGTTGAAACGATATCCGCTCTCGNCTGGCTGTTATGAATGTTTCATAGTGACAGCTGGTTTCGGTGGTTTCAGAGAGGTTAGACATCTGTCAGTAATCTTCAGTTTATATCACTTTGAGTTTCATACAAAAACCCTGTTTTTTACTTTGTTGAATATGTCAAGTTTTGTGGTAACTAAGCAGCATTTTCGGGAGGTTTTATGTTTCTGCTTTAATTGGAAGAAAAGTGCAGCTGAAGCGCATCAAATGCTTGTAGAAGTTTATGGTGACAATGCTCCAACTGATAAATCATGTAGGGAATGGTTTCGACGTTCGAAGAATGGTGAATGGTGAAAAAAGAATGGTGAAAGAAAAATGGTGAATGGTGGTGTATACTATGAGCTGCTACAACCTGGTGATTCCATTACGGGTGATCGATATAAGCTACAATTGAATCGTTTGAGTTGCGCATTACGAGAAGGAAGGCCGGAATACGAGCAAAGACATGACAAAATTATTCATCCGCATGATTACGGTCAGCCTGATGTCTTAAAAGTCGTAAAAATTGCTTGGAAAAGCTGAAGTGGGATATTTTACCACATCCGCCGTATTCACCGGACATTACTCCTTCTAATTGCTGGCTGTTCCGACGGATGTAGCATGATTTGGCAGGTCACCGGTTCACCTTAGTTGCAGAAATCGAAAATTAGACCCTAAGTTGGATCGCCTCAAAAGACGAGACATTTTTCGAGATGGAATTCGAAAATTGCCTGAGAGGTGGGAAAAAGTAGTAGCCAGCGATGGACAATACTTTGATTAATCTGTTCATTCATTGTGCTCAAAAATAAATGCATTTTTGACCACACAAAAAACGAACCGAACTAATTTGTACACCCAATAGTTATATTCATATAATTGATCTTATTGAAAATCGTTAGATTTTCATATTCACCTTTCTGTTTAAATAAATACGAGACGCAGTACACTATACATTTAAATTTCATTTTTTCCAACGTCGCTTAAAATTTAATTAACCAGAATTTTTTTCCGATATACATTTAAGCGTTTTTGTACATTTAGGAAATTTTCAGAACATATATTTTAATTATTTTTACTAATCATTCTTTGTGACTTATTAATAATTCAATTAAGTAATTATTTTAATTCAAATTTAAGATATTTGTTGCCTTTTAACTTTTAGTAATCTTACAAGTTGTATTAACGAGATGGAAAGTTGAGCATCGCAGTGGCCCACGGGATAGAACGCTTGTCTCCCAATGAGGTGACACAGGTTCGAATCCCATCAGTAGCTAGTTGAAACGATATCCGCTCTCGGCTCACCACGACTACAGTTCTGCCATAAAATATCCCCTGTGGTAGACAGATCATGGGTTAGAATCCCCTTACAGTCCAGATAACCGAGGGAGTCTTTCGATATTTTTCTCTCCGTGTAGCGCAAATGCGTCATTTTCAATAAAAAGTCCTATACTATCAGTTTGCCTGATACAAGAGTTCCTTTGTCTTCTGGATTAGTTTCAAAATTATAAGGCTAACTTTGACAGCCGTAAACTCAGAATTGAGACGACTGTTCTACGTGAACTGTTTCAATAAAATGAAAGAGATGGAAAGATGATTATTCGAATACTTTTTATTGATTTTAAGGGATATTAGATTTTAATCAATAATTAATATTTCGAATGCTATCAATCGCCCTTGCTGTCAGGAAGGCAAAAAAATGGATAAGTTCAATAAAAGCTATTTTGCCAACTGGAACTGGTTCATTTTTGGTGTTGCTTATAGACTTGTCTTAAATTTTTTCAAGCTTCATTTGCTCTGATTTGTGACTTCTATAAAGATAACTTACTCTCCCCTAAGTGTCAATTTTTGACTTCTAATTCACATAGTTTTTTTTATAGGAATTTTAAAATTTTAAAGGGATAATAGGGGGGAAAAGAGAGAGGATGTTAAGAATATATAACTAAAATCAGTACTAATAGTACCAAAAACAGACTACTTTAACAGAAAAAAGAGATTATAAGCTTTACTTTTCAAGTAAAAAAATGGATAGAAAAATTAAAAATAATAAAATTGAAAAATAAGATTAAAAAAATATGTGAAAAATAATAAATGTGTGTTAAGGTTTTATTTGGAAATTAACCCATAATTTTAATTGATCACCACACCACAAAGGCATAAGAGGAGAAATAGCAATAATTAACAGTAATTTAAAAAATGAGCAATAAAAACAAAAAAAAACCAATTAAAATCGAACAATGAATAATTTAACATTTGAAAAGGAACAATAAACAGTTAAAAGGGCACGAAGAAAAATTTCAATTGAAGTCTAATCATTGTGATTCCATTATTGCTTTTGCTTCCCAATATAATTTATCCAGGGAGCTTCTTTCTGGTACTTGAAAATTCAAACGATGGCTTGAATTCATATTGTGTGCTTGGTAAATTGGGCATACATCGGTCGATAATATACATATTTTGAGCAATAGGTTTAAAAAGAGAAATATAAAAATATATAAAAAAAATCAGTAACTTTTTCACAGTCTGCAAACTTGCTAATAATTACTTCCTAAATGTATATCAGCATGGCGGAAATAAATTTAGCAAAAATGCTTATGAAGGAAAGAACTAGAAAAAAAACAAGTAAATTAAATAAAAAAAACAAATAAATAAAATAAACTGTAATGATCAACAATTGAAAGAAATACTTAAACGTATTTCGTTCTTTTAACAGAATGAAACTACTCTGGCGGTATCAAATTTTCAAAATATTACGTTTTCAGACAAAAAATGACCAAGATTACTATCATTCTAAAACTTATTTAATTATTTTTTTCAATCTCAATGGTCATTGTCGCGGTGGCTCAGAGGGTAATGCATTTGCCTTCCAATGACGCGATCCAGGCTCGATTCCTAGCGATGGCTGGCTGATACGAATTTCAATCTCGGCTCACACTGAACACAGTGTTGGCGTAAACTATTCTCAGTGGTTGACGAATCATGCATTAGAATTCCTTTGCCGCCAGGCTAACCGTAGGAGGTTTTAATCTCCGTGTAATGCAAATGCGGGTTAGTTCCATCAAAACTACGAAGGCAAGTCCTTCACGAAGGCTAGTTTGTCCCAATGCTTGAGCCAGAAGTTCTCTTTTCTTCAAGAAGTTCTCTTTTCTTCGAAGCCAGAAGTTCTCTTTTCTTCGGTTGGGTTCAAAACTAAAAGGCCACGTTGTTCAACATTGATAGTCGTAAACTCAGAATAGGGGAGACTGTTCACCTTAAGGTTATTGAATAAAAATAAAAATCGCATTGATCAATCAATCTAAATATTATTAGGCTACTGCTTATTTCAGTTATTAAATCTGAGACAGTTTTGAAATTATTCTGAGCTCAAAAATTGCACACATACAGAATATTAAGACAAAAAACGTTATCTTTATTATTATACTAAAATTGACATTAATTTTTTATTTAATGTTTCAATCACGATACTATATCATTAGACGACTACAAATTTAACTTTATGCATGTGAAACTTTATCAAAATTATTTTAACAAATTCAATTACGCCTGAAAAAAAAATTTTAAATAAAAAAAAACGGATTAAAAATCTGTTCATTCTGAAGTTATGATTTTTTTTCTAATCAATGTGGAACTTTATTAGCGTTCTAAAAAACTTGGGTAAAACGAGAACATTGATTAAATTTATTTAAAACTACTTCGACTAAGTTCTAAAAAACTGTGAAAAACAATTTCATGCTCAACCAACAGAATAAAATCAAATTTAACACCAGCATTTTGTTTGGCACATAACACAAGCCATAAAGTAGAAAAATATGTCTCTTTCCAAAAGTGAAAAATATTTGGCGTACATCAAAACAACTTTTATAATTACGTAAACAAATATAAAATTAAATAACTTAATACCATAAAGACACATATTTATGGCTGGTTTTAATGTAAAGAATAATGATTTTCTTTCCTTATTTTTATACTTTATAACATCAATATCACAAATATTCACTAATGCTTAAATTCAAGTCTGTTTTTCTTTTGAAGCAAACTTACAAGATCGAAAATTATCTAGTGTTGTAAACATTATACATTTTGTTTGATATTATGCAGTTTTTGAAATCTAAAATAAAATTATATTGTGCTTCATTTGTGAAAATATTCCTCACAAACTCTATGAATGATTTTTTACATTAATCCAGAAATTATAGCATTCACCTTTAGGTTTGAAAGATTGGTAAAATGGTAAGTGAAATCATTGAAACATATTTAACATTACTGAAAAAAAACGCATATGCAAATTATTTTAAATTTAGAAAAAAAATGCAATTAAAATATTTTTAACAATGAAATGCATGTTACTATAACAATAAGTGCCATGCAATAACAGTGCTTAACAAGTCCTGTGAGCCATGTTTTGCATTTTTCCTAAAGGAATATTATCCGTCTTTATTTTTGGAAAAGTAAGAAAACGATAAGTGTAATAATATATTTTTGTATAGTTCGTTTTTATCATTGCAAAATAGTTTCGAGACCATTAAAGTAAAAGTAACTTATAACTCTTTTATTTTTAAGCAAATAAATTACTTATACAATTATTTTAATTAGTTTAACTTCGAATTAATTCGAAATATTCATTTTTAAGGTGAATATGGTACGAGAGCAAATTATAAATGCGTCATGGTGGTCTGGGATACTTTGTTTTTAATTTTATTTTTATTTTAGCATTATTTATTAATTATTATTACCTTTCAAAAACATACAAAAAGTATTTATTCATCTTTAACGCGGCAATTAAAAAAATTTAAATTTAGCATTCTGTAAAAATGATATTTTTTAGTGTTGACGCAATTAAATATAGTAAGCATTTATTTAACTGATTTTTTTTATTTTTTTTTATTAAAATTTTCGAAACTTAATTTTTTTTTTTGGTGTTCTTTTTTTACTTAATTATTTTAAAAGTTTCCAAATTTAAAAAAATTAATCTATATATAATTTATTATTTATCTTATAAATTAAGTATAAAAACTGAAACCAAAAGTTTTTCAGTTTCATACAGACAAATAAAAGTACAAATTTTAAAATTAGCATATTTTCGAGAAGTTATTATATCTCGGAGTGGAATTTAAAAATAGATACCAAAAGATAATATTTTTCTTCAATAGCATCTTAAACCTTTTTCTGTTATTAAACATTTTAAAAACTATACTGAAACCCGTTCACTTTCTTCGAGTACTACGCGTGATCTTTCTAAATACTGTTTGGAAATTACGAGATGAGCTGTCACTGAGGTAGCTTACAGTTAAGTCAGAGGCTTATCTCATGATTGCCAGACCGTACCACTACGAATATGTGTACTTTATAACAAATAGCTTTTAAAACTTAGGTTCGTCAATAAATTTTCGAACTTCGTACATATTCTCGAGAAATTATCGTTTCTCCTGCGAGTTTAGAAGAAAGTTAAAAGCAGTTACCAAAAAATAAGTTCAGTTTTTTGGTTAATAACTTTTGCAACTTTTATTTTGCTATTAAATATTTTGGAAACTATCGAATCTGAAACTCGTACACTTTCATCGCGTACTACATGTGATCTTTCTAAATACTGTTTGGCAATCACGAGATAATCTCTCACTGAGGTTTTTGTCACTGAGGTTAGATCAGAGGCTCATCTCATTATTGCCAGACAGTACCGCTAGCCATATGTATATTATAGGTACCGAATCCTTGTTTTTAACTCATTTATGAGTACAATTTACATTTTTGTTTATTTATAAGGGAAAGATTAAAAGACAGCAACAGCAATCAATACAGAGAACCATATAGTAAGAATATAAGAACACAGAGAACTAAAGAAGCAGCTGTAGCGAAGTGAGTATCCTGTAGCGGTCCATAAGAGACTGTTTGCTTAAAGCTCAACAAAGGATGATATGCACAATCTGTTGTTGTTGCTAATCTCGGAATCGTCTAGCAGCGCTAGACCAAAGAATATATAAGTGAGAAGAAGACCAGCTCTCATAGGCCCCCATGTAAACCTGCTCCGGAGGCAACGGTTACCTCCATCAAGGTGGGGAAGTATTGCTAGGAAAACAACCTGCCTCCTTACAGTGGGTCCCTCCGTCCTTACCCCGTAAGCAACCCCATTCCTCTCCGCTCCCAACAAACACCTTTCTCCTTGTCTCCCCCCACTCTAATGAAAAGTGACTCAAACCCCGTCAGCTTTTGTTCTTTACAGACTTATATGGTTTTGAAAAAGGTTTACTTATTAAACAAGGAAAATATTTACTTGTGACGAATTCATTAAAAGATAAATATAATTTATTATTTTAACATAGGTGTATGATTTAAATAGATATCCGTCACTTAAAGATGTCACTTTAAACAGTCACTTTAAAGATGGCAAAAAATTTGTTGCTAAACAAGTTTAGAGACGCTATGATGGATGAAAGATGTGCTCATGAGTCGCCTCAAAAAACTTTGGCGCTTTTCTTGTCATACAGTGGGACCTTGCTGGCCCCTGCTACGTATCGGAGAAGCTAGACTTCTTCTCACATTATATATTCTTTGGCTAGACGACTCCCATGGATTCCGAGTACCTCCAAAAAGTCCATAAAAAGGGTGGAGTCTCTCAGGACCTCATCTTTACCGAACCCCAAACAATGCAGAATATGCGTAGGGGAGGCCATGTCTGTCGAGCACCAATGGCATTCAGGATAAGTTTTTTGACCCCGGTTGAAAGTAAGGGATCTAGTGTGTCCACTCAAGAAGCGTGAAAGGGCAGTTTGATGGGCTCTCTGTCTAAGATTGAAGGATTCTCCCAGTTTTTTTGCAAAATACCAAGAGTGGTTGGGTGGAGTTCTTATGGTCTTGTTTAATTTCATTTTTGCCAGTAAAACATCCGTATTAACCAATACTGTAAGTCTATCTTAAGGTACTCAGTAGCTATTTTTAAATACAATTTATTATTTGTCCTTGACTAAAAAGCAATTTATGAATTGAAAAATATGCTTGAATGCAAAAATGAAAGATGAAAGCAAAAATGGGAAAAAATCAAAGCTTAACGAATCGGTAATTTTTTTTTCCTTTATTGTTTAATTGTGTTAGAATTTAAATCAGTAAGAATGCGAGTTTTACTCTAAAATGTTTGTTCAAGTTTTTATTGGTTGTACTAAAAATATCAATGATTCAAAAAATCAATTAAAGAAGAGGAAAAAGATACAAGTGGTTTTCTGCATTGTGCTCCTCAGTTAAAAACAGATTATTCACACCAAGTTTCAAAATTTGTTGCTAAGTCCGTTAGTAAATGGCGTTTATGATTCGCAATAACTATAAAATGTATTTCTAAACTAAATCATCATATAGAGCAACAACGTTGCAATTCCTGAAGACAATAATAACAGAAACTCGTGTAAATATTTCATCTGGTAGGATTAAACATGGAAAACAAAACATTGTTATTTAGTTTTTCAAGACAGCAACGGCATCTGGTGTTAAATTTTGTAACTAATTTTAAAACTTGGTGAGAGTGATGAAGTGTTGTCTAAGTAGATCGCAACAATACGTACACTTCTGCTATACCCTTCCGTTTTTCTTTAAATGGTTTTTTCAAATCTTTGGCCTTTTTTGAGACTTCCTGCACATTACATTAGTTAAAAAAGATATGTTTTAACTAATTACCTAATTAATTAACGCAATTTAAAAAAGGAACCTGTAAATTTAAAAAATTAAATGTATATAAAGTAATAATAGGTGTTGAAGTTTAAAATTCAATTTCGCTAAAATTGTCCAAACTTTTATTTTATTTAATATTTCTTTGTCTAAAATTGTACTTTTATATCCTTTTAGGCTCTTTGATGCATGCATATGATGGCAGTTTACATCCGACGCAGACATCTTTTGTTTCTTCTTGCAGCGTTCTATTTTACTTATCTGCTTCTCTATTTATATATTTTAGATAATAGTTTGAGAACTCTAAGTGAGTTGTTAGAAATCAATGAACTGTTTTCCTTTAATAAGAATCCTAAGAATAGGATATTTGAAAAAGTGTTTGACTATATTGAAACAAACGAAATTATCTCATCCAAGGAAACGGATAACGATTTCTCTTCGAGAGAAGATCAATATTTTGATGGTAGCCCAGGATCATATAATGGTCAGTTAAAAAAACCAATGTATTTAAAAGAATATGAAGGACCATACCGTGAAGATAATATTATAGAACCAGAGAAGAAAAATGAAACATATTCATTACTACTGAAATTAAACATCAATAAAAATTTTCCTCGTTCTTATTTTAAGGACATTACTTTAGAATCAGAAAACAATGAACAATATTCATCGGTGAGGAAATTAAATGCTCTTCCTAATAATGTACAAGGGAATATTCAGAAAAAGATTGTATCTCACTCGGAAGACATTGCATCAGAACCACAGATCAACGTTCAATATTCCTCAAAAAGGAAAATAGAAAATCATCAGAAAGAAGACGCATCTAAGATATTCAATATGTCACCTACAATATCATTGATTAATGATATAAAAATCAAACAAATGCATTGGACTTCAGAAAAATTAGAAAACCTCATGCTTGAAAAATTAGTTACACATTCACCACAACCACTTGAATCAAAAGTTCTTTTTAGGCTTAAAACAGTTTCCCAAAAAGTGCACAATACCATATCCTCTTTGCAATCTTTTTTTAATACTACGACTAAAAAGCAAAATTCAAAGTCAAACAGTGATATTTTATCTATAAATGCAGTAACATTGCCTCAAAACATTATATTGAGCAGAAACAATACAACTCCTTCCGAAAAAGATGTTTCTGTACTAAAACCTATTCCAAAACCGAAGAAAGATCCTAATTTTATAATCGACACCAAAGGATGCAAAATACCAAAAATGAGTCCTTGGGACTCGACAATATTGCACCTCATTCAGTTACATAATCCTTTAAAGTGCTCTAATATTCCTTTATTTATGACACCAGAGCCAAATGGAATTATCCATTTAAATGTATCAGTATTAGAACAGTATTACAATACTACAGTTGATGAGCTGAAATGTTATTACCAAGCAATCTATCGCAAACATGAAGATCCTGGTAACGTCAGGGAAAATGATTACTTTGTGAGTGAAGTTCAGAACTTGATATTTAATAGTCCAATGCAAGATGAATATGTTGCTGCCAAATGTTTCTTCCCAAATAATTACACTCACGAGCAATACTTTCCTTTGGTTAGGATTAAGAAAGATGTAGAAGAAACAAAATCGAAAATCACGCCACCAAGTCCATTGAACGTTATACTTTTAGGAATTGATTCCGTGTCAAAATTAAACTTTTTAAGACATTTTATGCGCACAAAATCATTCCTCAAAGATAAAATGAGATCCTTTGATATGAAAGGATATACAAAAGTAGGAGATAATACATTTCCGAATTTGGTACCATTACTCACCGGCCATTTCGTTGAATATTATTGGAACGAGTCTCTCAGAGATACTTTTTTCTTCGATAACATCAGTTTGATTTGGAAAGAATATGCCAAGAATGGGTATCGAACATTTTATGCTGAAGATTCCCCTTTGTTTGGTACATTTAACTACCTAAAGCGAGGATTTTACGATCCCCCAACTGATTACTACTACAGACCCTTAGCGTTGGCCATTGAAAACTCCATGTTGAGGGCAAAAGCTAGGGTGACAAACTCACCATGTTTAAACTCCGAAATGGAGACAGATCTTATGTATGACTACTTGATTAATTTTATTAAAACGATGGGAAAAAGACCCTATTTTGCCTTTTGCATGGTATCTATTCTCACGCATGATTTTTTAAATAAAGCTGGTCGTAATGATGTTCCAGCTGTTAGATTACTTCAGGCTCTAAATGATGAAGGCGCACTGAACTCAAGTGCCCTTGTGATATTCAGCGACCATGGTTTACGATTTGGGGAAATTCGGCACACGTATATAGGGAAATTTGAAGAACGGATGCCGTTTATGTATGTACATATCCCCAAGTGGTTTCTTGAAAAACACCCGGATGTTGAAAGAAGTCTAGCAATAAACCAAGACCGTTTGGTAACTCTTTTTGATGTACATGCTACAATGAAGCATTTGCTCTACCTAGATGACAATCTCCAAGATAAAACTGACGAACTTGGAATTAGTCTTTTTAACGAGATACCCGAAAATAGAACTTGTGAAGATGCACACATTCACCAGCATTGGTGTCCTTGCAACAATTTCAACCAAATATCCATAAACCATCCGGCGATTTCAAATGTTTCCCGGTCTCTTGTAGATCATGTAAACGAACTTTTGCAACCTCATGCTAATGTTTGTGAAATACTAGAAGTAGATCAAGTAACCGACGCGCGATTTGGAATGCCTAATATGAAGGATATGGGTGTTCAAACAACGGAATCTACAACAGGCGACTACTTAATTACGCTGATAGTGAAACCAGGGGGAGGAGTTTTCGAAGGAACTGTACGGTACTTTTCAAACAATATGACTTCAGATGTGCTGGGTGTCAGCAGAATCAGTGTCTATGGTAAAACATCTTGGTGTATAGATAGCCCCAAACTAAAACTTTATTGCTATTGTAAAACTCAACAGGAATGACATTTGTTAGCTTACATAAATCTCATACTGATGTTAGTGTTACTATGGGTGAAGAGAAAATAATAAACGCACAATTTGACATGTCCAATCTAAGTAATTCAATAAATATAAAATCAATAGCACATGTGAAAATATTATGCTTTTAAAAGGTGTTTCATAAACACAAAGCTTAAACTAAAACTTTCGAAAGTTTATCAATATAAAGAATAAATTTTAACTTAATGTTGACTCTTAAAACTAATATTTAAGAAAAAAAATGTTGAAATCTAGTGAATACCTAAAAAGGAATCAAGATTAAAAATATTAAAACTAACTTAATTGCAAAAAAAAAAGCAAGAGGTGCTAAAGTTACTTAACAGCATACATGGCAACGTTACTTTTAAAATGTAACGAGTAAAAGTACAAGTAATTTTAAAACAAGTAACGAGTAAAAAGTAAAAAGTTCTTATTTTAAAAAGGAACGAGTAAAAAGTACAAGTAAAAGTACAAGTACTAGACAAAAAAAGTAATGATTTAAAAGTACATTTCTAGGAAATCGAAAATTCAAAGTAACCTAAAATTTTACTGAATAATATTCTTACGTTCTTTAATGTTTTTGCCAAATTGTTGTTATTTATTTAATTATTTT